CAGAATTTGACGTCTCAGGTCCGAAGTATATCCGATGTCACGCAAGCTATTGCCAAGGGAGACTTGAGCAAAAAGATTGAAGTGCATGCTCAGGGAGAGATTCTCACACTTAAGGTCACCATCAACCACATGGTGGGTCGACTGGCCAAATTCGCTACTGAGCTTAAGAAGGTCGCCCGAGATGTCGGTGTTGACGGCAAGATGGGTGGACAAGCCAACGTGGAGGGTATTGCGGGTACTTGGAAGGAAATTACCGAGGACGTGAACACCATGGCCGAGAACTTGACATCGCAAGTCCGCGCTTTTGGTGAAATTACCGATGCCGCCACCGACGGTGACTTCACCAAGTTGATCACGGTCAATGCATCTGGTGAAATGGACGAGCTGAAGCGGAAGATCAACAAGATGGTTTCCAACCTGCGGGATAGTATCCAGCGAAACACTGCCGCTAGGGAGGCTGCCGAACTCGCCAATCGCACCAAATCAGAGTTCTTGGCCAATATGTCACACGAGATCAGAACGCCGATGAACGGTATCATTGGAATGACTCAGTTGACGTTGGATACGGATGATCTCAAGCCGTACACCCGAGAAATGTTGAACGTCGTTCACAACTTGGCGAATAGTTTGCTGACTATCATCGATGATATTCTGGATATTTCCAAGATTGAAGCCAACCGCATGGTTATTGAGAGCATTCCATTCACCGTCAGAGGTACTGTCTTCAATGCTCTCAAGACCTTGGCTGTCAAGGCCAACGAGAAGTTCTTGAGTTTGACCTACCAAGTTGACAACACCGTTCCTGATTATGTCATTGGTGATCCATTCCGTCTCCGCCAGATCATTCTTAACCTTGTTGGCAACGCTATTAAGTTCACCGAGCATGGCGAGGTTAAGCTCACTATACGAAAGTCGGATAGAGAACAATGCACGACCAACGAATACGCCTTCGAATTCTCAGTGTCTGACACGGGCATTGGAATCGAAGAGGATAAGCTTGATCTCATTTTCGACACCTTCCAACAAGCTGATGGCTCAACCACCCGCAGATTTGGTGGTACTGGGCTGGGATTGTCGATTTCCAAGCGCCTTGTAAATTTGATGGGCGGTGACGTTTGGGTCACTTCCGAATATGGACATGGAAGTACTTTCCACTTCACCTGTGTGGTGAAACTCGCGGACCAGTCTTTGAGCGTCATCGCCAATCAGCTCTTGCCGTACAAGAACCACCGGGTGTTGTTCATCGACAAGGGTCAGAACGGCGTTCAAGCTACCAACGTCATGAAGATGTTGAAGAAGATTGACCTGGAGCCGTTGGTTGTACGGAATGAAGAACATGTTCCCCCACCCGAGATTCAAGATCCTTCTGGCAAGGAATCAGGCCATGCCTACGATGTTATTATTGTTGACTCGGTAGACACGGCCCGGGTCTTGCGGACGTTCGATGAGTTCAAGTACATTCCGATTGTTTTGGTCTGTCCTTTGGTGTGCGTGAGCTTGAAGTCAGCTTTGGACCTTGGTATCAGCTCATATATGACTACCCCGTGTCAGCCGATTGATCTTGGCAACGGTATGCTACCAGCCTTGGAAGGCCGGTCGACGCCGATCACCACCGACAACTCACGTTCATTCGATATTCTTCTAGCGGAGGATAACGACGTGAACCAGCAACTTGCGATGAAGATTCTTCAGAAGCACAACCACAATGTGTTCGTTGTTGGAAATGGCTTGGAAGCTGTTGAGGCTGTCAAGAAACGTCGTTACGATGTTATTTTGATGGATGTTCAGATGCCAGTCATGGGCGGCTTTGAAGCCACCGGCAAGATTCGTGAATATGAACGCGAGAGTGGGCTTCAACGAACCCCAATTATCGCGCTCACTGCCCACGCTATGTTGGGTGATCGGGAGAAGTGTATTCAGGCCCAGATGGACGAGTACTTGTCCAAGCCGCTCAAACAAAACCAGATGATGCAGACTATCCTCAAATGTGCTACCCTTGGTGGGTCACTATTGGAGAAGAGCAAGGAGTCTAGGATTTCGAGCAGCGGGGAAATGCACCCCAATTACTCAATGAATGAGAACCAACAGCCGCCGCCACCACAACAACGGTCAAAGCAGCAGCCCTTGCCGTCCCCTCGCCCGGTTGTAGATTCCCGGTCTATCACAAGCTCTGGTCCCATCACCAGGGGGAGTGTTGTCAGTCCGTCGGAAGAGAAAGAAGAGATGATCGACGAGCGGGTACGTTAGCTGTATGTTCAGAACCGAACTCTCAAAACAGCATGGCTAATTATTTCCAGGCATTGCTACGATCCAACAGTACATGAGTTTAGCATATTTATTTCCATGCAGATGATTTCGATGCGACTATACCCTGTCTATATGAGTCTCATCTACTTTTGTCTACTTCATACCCACTTGCGTCTTCCCCTCCATCTATTATGATTATCCGTCATCAACCTCCACCATTGCATTCGCTTTTTTTCTTCTGAATTTCATTTCTCCTCCTCTTGGAGGTGGTGTTTGGCGCAGTCTACGATAGGACCTGGTTTGATCTATATGGAAAGATGACCGAATTGGGGAGTTTTCGCTTACAGAGGGGCGCTTGTTCTTTTTACCTCTTGCTCTACCATTTTTCTTCTCTCTAGCCTCTCGCTTTTCCGTTCGACCCCCTCAGCATCTTCTTGCCGTCTATTCTTGTATTGTACTTAGTTTGCTACTGATCATATCAAGCGCGGCACAAGAACACCGCTCAATTTCTTTAAGCTCTTTTCTTTTCTATCATTCATGCATATTTACCTATCTCCCACTTCAAAGGTTACCTCGCAGATTATCTAACTGCTAGCTATTTCTCAATCTATCTCTTCTAGACTACCTATATTTAACCCTCCAAACGCTGCTTCGCGCGCTCTACTCATTCCTAGTATACCTGACGACCCCAACTCTTCTTTCATATCCTATAGTTTGGCTATTCGATCACTACTGGTGTTTTAGGCGGATTCTGGGACTGACTTTACAGTCCCTACTTCTCCTCTCTCTCCCTCTTTTTCCTGTGTTTATCTTCTTTCATCCCTACCAGACACAATGATCACACTCCTCTTTTTCATGCAAATCATCATGTTTTAGGAGTCTCAAAAGAACCTGTTGGCGGCCTGGCTTTCTAAGGCCCGCCTGCATAGTTGTTTGCTCCCAGTGACCTTCCTCCTGCTAGATAGATACTCCTATCTCTTTAGAAGTCCGTGAGACAATCTTGATCCTTTCTGCCATCGCCTCACTGCCAGAGGCCGATGCATTCTGAGCCGACCCCCTGTGAGCCTCCCTTCTGCTTGCAGTCAGCTATCTGGAAGCATTACACAGGTGCACAATTGTGTATAAGTTTGGTGGTACGGCTCGTCACAATATTGGTCCTGCTGATCAGGGTCTACCCACACGTCCGTGGGCGAACAAGCATGTGCTCTGTAGGGTCCAAGACTGCGACTGTGCAGTCTTGATATATCCACTGAACTCGAGATCGGCAGCCCAGGTTAAGGAGAAGGCTAGGGAGCGGATAGACTACTCAAGTGATGACGGTAGCGACAAAGGTATGATACGACCAATCGCGCCACTTAACTAGAATCTACAGATCTATATGGGATTGAGGTCATGCTGTTCTTGGCTATGCTGCGGTCCAGGAATCCATGGCAGGGCCTGCAGCCATTTGCTACCGGGACGGTGCTCCCTCAATAGCTGGGTGTGGACCCCATGTCGAATCATTATTGACTACTACATATAGATGAGCGAGGCCTCGAGGCTATTTTGCGGTCTATAGCGGAGCCCTGGAGGGGTTGGTGGGGTTGACTAAGATAACGTTGTTGATAGGTGGTGTAGACGAGAAGGTTACAACAGGGCTTGCCCAAATGGGATATTTGTTGGGGTCGTTCTCCAAAGATCTCATTATGGTCGTTTTGACCATTCTGGTCACTGTACTGACTAGCAAACTAGCAATTTATGTAACATCTTGGGTCATTGTAAACACATTTTTATTAGCCTCCCAAGCAGCAAGAGGCTAACAGCCCACTGGATATGAGATATGATGAAAAACATTGATTGCTTTTAAAACACCAAAGCATGCCCAACTCCGAAAATCTGCGTGTTGCAGGAACCGTGTCGTATCTGAGAAAGCATAAAACAAAAGAAAAAATAGATGCCCAGGATAAAATTTAGTCGATATCCATCTGCTCCTCCACTCCACCATCCACCAAAAGCTTGCTCTTCTGCTTCTGGCGAATTCTCTCCTCGCCGTGAACTCTGTTGGAAACCTTGCTCTGCTCGGCCACCATGGGCAGACCCTCCTGGCGCTCCCGGAGTTCCTTCCGAATGAGGTGCTCGCCCTCGTTGACGACCTTGCGGTCCGCCTCGCGCTGGCGCTCGCGGGCGATTTTGCCGGCCAGGCGGCGTTTCGTGAACACACGCTCGCGGCGGGTTCTGATCTCCTCGACTCTCTCCATGGCGGTGAGGGTAGCAGCCATGAGGTTGCGGTCGTACTTGACGGGGACGTTTCTCTTCTTGGCGAACTGGGACAGGACAAGCGACGAATCCACGATCATCTCCTTTCCGCGGGAGGCACGGTGAGTCTTGGTCCACTTAAGCTTGCGGGGCTGACGCTTCATCTTGAAGTTCTTGTGGCACTTGGACCGACAGAAGCGGAATTGTCGGGCATCGTTGCGGACGAATGTGATGCCCTTACTCGGGAAGGCCGGGCGGGAACAGAAGTGACAAGTTTCAACACTGCAGATAAAAAGAATATTAGCATTCCGTAGAACGGTTACAGACAAAAATTAACGGCAAAACTTACCGCATGGTTGTGGAGTGGTGTTGGTTATGTCTTCGTTGAGTCGCAAGAAACTTTTTCTGTAGCTTCGGGCCTGAATGGTGGAGCAGACCACGCTAAACCCTTTTGGGGCACCCGCGCTGACTTTTCTATCCCGGCGCCTCTTCGCCCATTCCCCGGTCCAACTGACTTGATCTCATTTCGCGACCTCTCCATCTCAATCTAAAAAATGGCCTCTGCTCTTGTTATTGGATTTGGCATTGCCACAACCGCCTTTTTGGTGAGTGAAAACAGTCGTTGTTCAGCAGCACGGGACTCCAGGGCTAACCCATTGTCTACAGGGCCGCGCCGGTCTGGTCGCCTACCGCCGCTCCAAGGGAGGCTTAAACGCTGCCGGAAAGGCATTCTATAAGGGGTTCGTGGACATTTCACTATCTTGCGGTTATATGGGATATTGACTAACGTTGTATTGCAGAGGATTCGAACCGCGCATGAACCGTCGGGAAGCCTCCCTGATTCTACAACTTGCGTATGTGCATATGCTAGCGATGAATCTTTTGATATGCCAGAACTGACAATACTTCTCAGTGAACGAACTTTGACCAAGGATAAGATCCGCAAGAACCACCGCCAGCTTATGTTGCTCAACCACCCCGATCGCGGCGGCAGTCCATACCTGGCCACCAAAATTAACGAGGCGAAGGAATTCCTCGACAAACATGCTTAAGACTTTGCCGGTGCAGCTTTGACTTCTCTCTTCCCCGGCAACGACCTTTGGGCAACGATGGAAAAGCGAGAATTTAGGTCTCGACATTGACAAGCTGGTCATTATAATTTGGGCACATAGCGTGGCGTTGGTTTGGCATTTACAAGACCGGAGGAACAAGACTGCTCTTTACGAACCTTGTTGTATTATATGCACTGTTTTCACATATCCCTACGAGATCGCCGCTCTTCGTTGAATGTACTTTTATTACTATCCATCCGACATATCCAGCACGTGAGAACCGGCAATCCCCGGCATCATATCAGATCATACCTCTGCCAAATTGTCGATCTCGGTCTGTTTTAGTAATCCATGACCAAATACCTAGGTATAACCTTGAAAGAAGGTCACCCCTGGACAGTCAGAAACACGTAGGCCGAAGGCTCTCAGGGTTACAAGGCATACTGGATCCGTCCTACCCCATATAGAACGCCACACACCCCCGCAAGAATGATTATGCTACACGGATAGAAAAATGGCTTTGATCGACGCAAAGAGAGAGTGGATTGGAAGAGATTGAACGGAAGCCAATGCCCCTGTTCACCGGATCGGACGAAATCGACCGTCCACCTTTTTGAGTTCTCTCGGCGGTCGGGTTTAACGGGTTCCGTCATGCCACGAAATAATCTTCAAGGCAGCAACTCGTATAGCGTAACTCAGTACGGAGTATAGCGTTTATCATCTTACCTCCATTGAGACATATTGAAACATATCAATTTGCACCCTTCCAAGGTTATTCTCACGTGTGGTTGAGTCATTTCTTACCGAAAGTCCCAAACTTTGGGTATTTGTGCTCATTCATTGTCAACCTCCCTCTACTCGAAAAAAGGTTCTATCCTTCCATGCGTCATTCATTTCTATAATCCATAGCGCACCCCCTCTCTCCTTTCCCAGGGCCGGAAAAAAAGCTTTGCGCCGAGATACAGCACCCCGCAGTATCGCTCATTACTTATCAATCACCGCCATTACCTCTACCTAGTACTCCGCGGAGTTTCCGTTGCCCCTCAAAACGAAAAATGGATGGCTTGGGGGATGGTGACGGCATGGGCTTTGATCCACCTACTATGATGAACCAGACACCACATCTCTTCAGCTACGATCATTCTCAGATTCAGGCGGGGTCTATGTACGATGATTCGTCATTAGGCGCGGGGGACGAGACCAACGATGCGAAGAGACGGAGGATCGCGAGGGTGAGGATCATTACCCGTTGCAGATATTGAGAACACATCTAATGAGCAAACAGGCGTGCGATATGTGTCGGAAGAAGAAGATTAAATGCGATGGGAAAATGCCAAAATGCTCACACTGCATCAACTACAAAACGGAATGCATCTTCACACAAGTGGAAAAGAAACGGAATCCTCCTAAAGGGTATGTATACTTGTATACCTCATGGCATATAGAGTTCTATATCTGACTCGAGAATTTCTTGTATAGAGCGAAATACATCGAAGGCCTTGAAAACCGACTCGGCCGGATGGAGTCGTTGCTGCGTTTGTCGGGTCTTTTGTCAGAAGACGATGGCGGCAAGACAGATCTCGGAACATTAGAGAAGCGACTAGCGGATCGAACGAATGCGTTGAACGCAGCAAAAAACTCCAGCATGTTCCTGGCTCAAGCAGCTGCAGCTCAACAGGCCCCAAGCTCCCACCAAACCACACCTCGTATGGACTCCACCTCCAGCCCTCTGACAGCCGCTACATCACCAGAATCGCAAAAGTCGGAGACCGAAGTCGAGGCACTGTCGGATATGATGTGTTCTTTGGTGACAAACAACTGCGGGGAAACTCGGTATATTGGTAGGCTTTTTTGTGCAACTGTTTGGGGCTAGTTTGTTAACAGTTTCACAGGATCCTCATCTGGATTTTCTATATTCTCCCCAAAGGGCATTCAATGGGTCAATGAGAAAACCGGCGATACATCCTTCCAGGACATGATCTCGTCAGCATATGTCGATGACAATAAATGGATGTACTGGAAACCCGAGATCTTTAGCGATATTTTCGCAAGGCGTGTGTTCAAGCCTCTCCCGCCAAAGGAAGAAGCTCTTTCTCTATTCAAGGACTTCTTTGAAAACTTCAATTGTATGTTCCCACTGTTCCACGAAGCGACATTCATGCACTTGGTGGAGCGGCAATACTCGCGCGATCCCTACGAGGGTTCGGGCTGGTGGGCAAGTATAAATGTTGTCCTGGCCATTGCCCACAGGCTTCGGGTTATGAGTAATTTGGTGCCACACGAAGAAGACAAAAGATCTTGGCTTTATTTGAAGAATGCCATGGGAGTTCTGACCGAGCTCACAATGCGCAATACCGATCTATTGAGCGTGCAAGCGCTATTGGGCATGGTAAAGTTGTCCTACTCTGATTTCATTAGGTTTCTCTAACGTTGTCTTCTAGTCACTCTTTCTTCAAGGAACCCCTAACCCACAACCTGCTTTCTTCCTAGTCGCTGCGGCGATTCGACTTTCCCACAGCATTGGCCTACACAAACGCGGTTCTGGCTTTGGCCTCAATGTGGTCGAAGTTGAGCAGCGGAAGAGAGTCTTCTGGATAGCCTATCTTCTTGACAAAGAGTATGACCCGCTTTCAAATACCCTTATACCTTTATTTTGAATACTGACCAATTCCTTAGCATTTGTCTACGCTCTGGTCGACCACCAGTACAAGATGACGATGATATGAATGTCGAGCTGCCAAGCGAAGATCCTCCAGACAATGTTGGAAATGTGCCATTATCTGATGGCAGAAGCAAGTTCAACCTATTCCGATCATTGTGTGAATTCGCCACTATTGAAAGCAGAGTATACAAGCGACTTTATTCTGCCAAAGCATCGAAACAATCAGATGGTGAATTGCTCAATACAATCGGTGAGCTTGACAAGGAGCTGGAAGACTGGAAAGATAGTATTCCTATCGACTTCCGCCCCGAACACGAAATCCAAGCTACCCACACCCCCCTCATCATCCATATGGTTGTTCTACATTTTGCCTACTACAATTGCTTGACCACCATTCATCGGATGTCGGTTCATCACGGGTATTGGACAAGCCGTCTGTCCAACTATGCCATACAGGGGTTGAATGCACGGCCCTTGAACCCTAGGGTATTCTTGTCGGCAGTTCTATGCGTCACTGCTGCCAGAGCATCGATTAATCTGATCAAGTATATCCCGCAAGGAGACTTTGCCTGTGTTTGGTACGTTTCAACAAATTGTGGGAACAAACAGCCGCTAACTTGATATTAGGCTGATTCTCTACTACCCGGTGTCTGCCCTTGTAACTCTTTTCGCCAACATCCTCCAGAACCCCAACGATGCTCGTGCTCGATCCGATGTTAAATTAATGAGCGTGGTAGTCAGCTTCCTGTCTACCTTAGTCTCCGACGAATCCAATGGCAGCATCAAGCGTATGCTAGGTCTTTGCGGTGAATTTGAGAGAATTGCCAAGGTGGTTTTGGACAAAACCGAAAAAGAGTCTCATTCGCGAAAGAAACGCAAGAATGCAGAAGACTCTGCAGGCGCAGCCGAAGAACAGTCGGAAACTTCACCCTCCGCCAAACGTACACAACCACCGCCCACCTCTGCATCCTTCTCTCCCTCCGTTTTTACCAACCCTACGGCTGCAGCCCCCCGCCCGGCGCAGGAGGACCATTCCCGGGAACTACAATGCCCCCAACAAGTAGCCTCCCCACCGACCTCCCAAGCAATATCCATGCTATGTCTGGCCTTGGGCAGGAGTTCCCAGACATGTTGAGTCCTGATCAAATGCCCAATGTTGGATTCTCCGACCAACACCCATTCAGTGCCAGCCCCGGTATGGCACCATTTCAGCAGCCATTTGTCCCACAAGATCTCTGGCAGATGCCAATGACAATTGAGTGGGACTGGGCGGATATGTCCACCAACTTTCCTCCTTTTGAAGGAGCTGGTCCCGGTGGGCCGCTGCCTGGGCAGTGATCATCACTGTATGATGGACTAGAGTCACCTTCATCCATCTTTTTATGCAGCTCATGGTGGTGGGATTATTGTTTCCGGCTCTATCTCTCCACACGAAATTATCTCCACACCTCTTGTATATTGAAGCGCTTCTCTTCTTATTTCGAAACCATCCCGAGGTCTCTATGGACCAGGATAATTATGGGTTTACATTACGTAGCGAATGGCGCAAAGGTGGGCCCGATTTATAGGAATATGTACAGACAGGTCTCCAATCCAAATCAATTCTAGATAGTTTAATTCAATAACGGAATTTATAAACAACAGCCTTGAAAGGTGCTTACGGCTTTAAGCTAATTCCATCCGTGTTGGACCCCGAGGCCCCGGGGCCTCCAGGGCTGCGCTTCTGATGACTCAGCCGGATCGGCGAAAATTTAGAACCGACTGGAACCACACGGCGTCACCTCGGACCTGGATGCCTCAAGAGCTTCTCAACTCCCAGCTTAATTCCGCCCCTCACGCCTAATCTTGATGGATTGTGATATCACCCGTTACCTCTAAACTCGATTGACCACCTTTTACCCCCGCCCTCGTAGCCCTCGGGGCTTCCATTCCTCGACCATGGCTATGGCTACCTTGCTCCGACGGCCAGGCAATCTCGCTCGCTACTCGAGGAAAGCCGCGGAATATACCGGTCGCACGGGGCTGGCTTCCGTTCGTGTGCGAACATCAAGACTCTCATCTCTGGTTTTATCAAGCCGCGCTAGAAGCTACGCCACGCAAGGTCCGACACCCCCCGACAACAGCCAGAACAACAAATCAGATGGCCCCAACAATGACCCAAAGAAGCCGAAGTCAGTTCTGACCGAAGCTGAATTGAAAATTGTGGATGAATGGCTGGTAGATATGGACGTCACGCAACGTACCAACTTCCGAAACTACATCATGAGCAATGGACTTCCACCGGAAGTCAGGGCGCACATGGATCCGAATCAATCACCGTCATTAATGGATCGTATCAAGATGATGCGATTCGTGTGGCAAGTGCAATCTTATTATACAGAGCAAGACGCAAAGCGCGGTATCGCGGACATGCGCATTCCCGCTGAAAAACGCAGTGATGAAGAATCCAGCCTCCGCTTCAATAAGGACTCAGAAAAGGAGCAACAAGGGCAGCAACCAGCAAAAGAAGGCGAACAACAATCCAGCGCAGAACCGCCAAAGGATCCCAAGCAAGACAAGGATCCTAAGGAGGAAAAGGATACCAAGGAAAAGCAAGGTGCCACGAAGGACCAGCAACAACAGAAGAAGCAACAAGGCGACAAGAAGGGCAAGGTGCCCCCGAACATGGGCAAGGTCCTCGAGTTCCGCTTCGATCCCGTTTCGTTCTTCGTTACCGCTCTCGTCACATACTACGCCTACCGCAGCTTTTTCCCCGGTGAAACTGGTGGCAGAGAAATCACTTGGCAAGAATTCCGGGCAAACTACCTTGAGAAGGGCCTCGTGGAGAAATTGACCGTCTTGAACCACACCAAGGTTCGCGTTGATCTCAACCGCGAAGCTGCGGCTCAAGCCGATTCAAATGGTCAGCCTGCCTCCTACGTCTTCTTCAGTATTGGTTCTGTCGATAGCTTCGAGATGAAGATTGAGGCAGCTCAGTATGAACTCGGTATTCCATCGCATGAACGTATTCCAGTCGCCTATCACGAAGAAACCCCATGGGGCGGCGTCTTGATGTCATTGGCTCCTACTCTCCTCTTCCTTGGTGGTGTCTTCTGGATGTCCCGGCGTGCCGGTGGCGGCGCCGGCGGCCAGAGTGGAATCTTTGGCATCGGAAAGAGCCGTGCCAAACGCTTCAACCACGAGACTGATATCAAGATCAAGTTCTCCGACGTTGCGGGCATGGATGAAGCCAAGGTTGAGATCATGGAATTTGTTAGCTTCCTCCAGCAACCCGAGCGGTTCGAGAAGTTGGGTGCAAAGATTCCCCGTGGTGCCATCCTCTCAGGTCCTCCCGGTACTGGTAAGACATTGCTTGCTAAGGCCACTGCTGGTGAATCCAACGTGCCTTTCTACAGTGTCAGTGGTTCTGAGTTCGTCGAAATGTTTGTCGGTGTCGGTCCCTCTCGTGTCCGCGATCTTTTTGCCAATGCCCGGAAGAACACCCCCTGCATCATCTTCATTGATGAAATTGATGCTATTGGAAAATCCCGAGCAAAGTCGAACGTTGGTGGTGGAAACGATGAGCGTGAAAGCACTCTCAACCAGATTCTCACTGAGATGGATGGTTTCAACACCTCTGAGCAAGTGGTTGTCTTGGCTGGTACCAACCGACCGGATGTTCTTGACAAGGCTCTCATGCGCCCCGGACGATTCGACCGACACATCTCTATTGACAGACCTACCATGGACGGTCGTAAGCAGATCTTCCGTGTTTACTTGAAGAAGATTGTCACCGACGAGAACCTGGAGTACATGGAGGGCAGACTTGCCGCTCTGACTCCCGGTTTCGCTGGTGCTGATATCGCCAACTGTGTGAACGAGGCAGCTCTTGTTGGTAAGTTCTTATGCATAATCTCTTCGCGGTATTTCATCAAAGCTAACAATTTCTCCCTGCAGCTGCCCGTGAAAACGCAGACAAGGTGGTCATGAAGCATTTCGAGCAAGCCATCGAACGAGTCATTGGTGGATTGGAGAAGAAGTCCCTTGTCCTCTCCCCTGAGGAGAAGCGGACCGTCGCCTACCACGAGGCTGGCCACGCTATCTGCGGTTGGTACTTCAAGTGGGCTGACCCGTTGCTGAAGGTGTCAATCATTCCTCGCGGACAAGGCGCATTGGGATATGCCCAATACCTCCCGGCTGGCGGCGACACATATCTGATGAATGTTAACCAGATGATGGACCGCATGGCCATGACTCTGGGTGGTCGTGTCAGCGAGGAGCTGCACTTCGAAACCGTGACCAGCGGTGCTAGTGATGACTTCAACAAGGTCACTCGCATGGCTACTGCCATGGTGACTAAGTTCGGCATGTCGTCCAAGCTTGGTTACATCTACTACGAGGATGACGCACAGCAGCAACTTCACAAGCCCTTCTCCGAGGATACTGCCCGCTCTATTGATATGGAGGTGCGCCGTATCATCGAAGAGGCCCACAAGCAGTGCCGCGACCTCCTGACCGAGAAGCGGGAGGAGCTTGTTATTGTTGCCGAGGAGCTTCTTTCTAAGGAGGTTCTTGGACGTGACGACCTCATTCGTCTCCTTGGCCCGCGCCCCTACGCCGAGTCTGGCGAGTTCGCCAAGTACTTCGATGGCAAGGGCGGCCAGATCATTGCCCCACCGGACTACCAGAGCCCCGATCAAACCTCTGGTAAGGACGGCCGGGACGAGACACCTATCCCTCCTTCATAGATTAGGGGATTGTGTTTCTTTGCATCCTTGTGGTTTGGTTTTGGTTCAATTTTGGGAGGCATGATATCACCCTAGCCTCTCTTCTTTTTGTATTTATCGATTGCATCTCCCGTTTCTTCTCCTCTCTCATCTTCTCTTTTTGTCCACTCTCATCCACAACACCTTTCTTCCTTCCCTCCACCGTGCTCAATAAGAAGATCATTTCTTTTTTTTATTTTCTCTCTTATTTGTCCCCTCTGTCCATCTTCGTGTCCAGTTGGATCTGTACAACTTGTACTGAGTGTATAATAGGGAGTTATTTTGAAACATGTCTTAGATTGGAAGTTAATGTCTCTTACGCGTAAATATTGTTGAACGATTGTCCTAAAACTCAGCGAATAACGTTGTATCAGACTCATTGGCTAGTAAGTCATCTAAATCTTCTTTGATAGCAATGACACATCCAAGGCATGTGGCTGTCTTGCGCTTTATATCCTCAATTATTCCCTTTGAGGTATGTCTTCAAAACACTCTTCTGAGGAAGTCGGCCCAATCCAAGACTTCTTCATTGCGAATGCAAAGCCTAGTGCATACTGGCAGTGCATACAACCCCACAAAGCAAAGAGACTCAAGGCAAAGAGGACAAACGGACCAGCTATGAAGATGACGTCTATGATGAAAGAGCTAAAGACTGATCAAGAACACATTTATGGTACTCAATCCATTAGCAATATAGTTCAATCCCCCCAAACCCTGCGGCTAACTTCATACAAGAGCATTATGCCCTATGTAAAAACACCAACACCCAGAACGCCGATTAAATCAGCATTTTCCTGTCCTCGGGTCATAGTTCATCTTTCAGAACTTCAGACTGGGATCCTGATTCATCAAAGATGCCGCGCATCCCTGAACTTCGAGACGAGAATGGTCGGGATCTACTCTGTGACGACACAAGTTCCGACAAAAGCAGCCCGAAAGTCGAGACGGAGTGGACGAGCGATGCAATCCGCGCATTCGATCGTGTTTGGCATGATCCAGCGAGAAGAAAGCATCCCAGCTGTTTCCAACCCGGCAGTGCTTTGGTTTTTAGTGGCGCATCAAGCAGGACTGCTGCATCTGAAAGCAGACAGACCCTAGCCCCAGCCACCTATGCTTTTCCATACAGGACGATAACACTAGAGCAGTCTCACAATATTGGGATACAACGGAACAGCCCTATCAGCTTTCGCGCGACACTAGATCCCGATTCTACAGCCCGGACCGTTTGGAAGAAACGCTCGTCGGCCCTGGGAACTACAAGGATTGGGCGGACCGGATGAGGAAGAAGCTTTAGCAGTGCGGCGGATTGTGGATCACCAATGCTGATCATCTTGAGGTGCCGACGCACAGCAGCTTGAGCACACAACGCATCCAGTCCATTCTGAATCTTTGGATGATGGTTTTCAGCAACGTGTCACAGTCCATACGGCTGGAACTATGTGCTCTAGATGCATTAGATGCACAGGAAGCATGGCAATTTCTGGAGAGGACATATGGGAGAGACGTTCCCGTGAAGATGCGTTCAGTCAAGGGCTTACGCGATATCATGGGTATCAGTTATGACAAATGCGCGTCACTGAAAGAATACATAAAGAAGATGGTGTTGTGCAGCCGAGTAATTCAATGTAACCGCGGAGAGAAAGATGGTGGCGACGGGGGGAAAGACCGTGCAAAGAACCGCAACCACTTGAGAGGGGGTGGAGATAAACGAATGGCTATGGTGCCAGTTCATCCTGGTGAATCTTGGCCCGGAGTGGGAGTACTGGGTCTCTAAGTTGGTGGGGAAATTCGAAGATAAAGAGAGAATGAATGTTGCAATAAGCACTTTCAGAGGACTCTTCCCCATCATCGAGGCAGAACAGGCACGTCGCATACAAGCTGCTCGTTACACAAAGGATTGTAGTGCGTGACCATGTCTTTAGGAGTTCGGTTAATAGATATCTTATGTTTCCAGTTCATTGTAATAAGTGATTAGTGCCTGAGCATATTAAAAATAGTGTGCATTGTGTCAAAATCGATAGTTTGAGGTAAGATGCGGAGAAAGTGCAGAAAATCACAGCAAAAACATGTCCACCCCTCTGTTATAGATTGTCTTCATACTTTGCTTATACATCAACCAACACATTAAGTGTTCCTCTTGCTAGTCTTCTTGGTATTCTTCGCCTTGACAGACAGGCGAGGGATAAACCTGCCAACGCGGGCCTGGTAGTCGCTGTACTCTGGGTACTTGCCAGCAGTGATAGACTCAGTTAGACGTACGCTTCCTTGGAAGATAGCAAGATACCCCAAAGCGCCAAGACCAGTCCAGTTGAAGTAAGTCTCGGTGCGGTAGCAGGACCACAAATACATGGTCAACCAAAAGGCCTGTTCGGCAACGAAGTTGGGGTGTCGCGACCAAGACCAGAGGCCGCTGACAACAAAGCCCCGCTCAAGATCTTCAGCGGAAAACTGGTCCTTGTAGGGCTCGGGAATACGCGCATTGGTTTGGTACTCCTTCTTGGCAGACTGGAACTTCCACTGCTGACCATCGGCGAAGAATTCAATAATAATGAAGAAAAAAGCAGCACGGGAGAAGGCCAGGTCAGGAAGGCCAAAGGTTTCGGGTCCTTGGTTGTATGCGGCGACAACAAAGATGTAGGTCGGAGCGGTGACGAGAAGGAGCAGGAGCGACTGGGCCACTGCAATGAATCCAAGGTTGAAGATCGTGAAAACAAAGCTATTGTTCGCTTTAGAGCGCAAGATCTGCCAGCGGTAATCTTCCGAGCCAATCGAGTATCCTCCTTTGCGCCAGTAGTTGAAAGTCAAGCGAACCTATCCCATAATTTGAGTCAGCACATGTAGAGACTCGAAAGAAAAGCCAACTTACACTCCACAGAACACTGATGACAGCGATTGTATCCAAAGTCTGGGTCTGGATGCCGGACAAACGAGCCCATAGGGCGAAATGCACGTTATATAACGCGGGGAGAATGCTCCAAAACCGGTCTACTTGTGAATAGTTCCGGTTGATCTCGGCTGCAATAAAGAACAGACCAGCCAGAACTCCACCGAAAGCAAGCGCAGAGACGAGGGGGTTGGTAGCTAGATAGACAGCTCGCAAGCTATACACATCGCTACCAGCTTCGCGCAAGCTGTCGGGCAGCCATTGCAGCTGGGCCAGGTAGGGGAGAACGGTGAGCTGAAATGAAGTGTAATCCAAAAGGGACTCCACGCGGGGAAGTGGTAAAGATGCCATGGCTATACTATAGGAGCAAAATATGCCGCAGGGGAAAAGGAAAACAAAAGCGTTTGCTCAGGTGGAGTTGGACGGGTATGTTGCCCAGAAATTGCCCGATTGGGAATAGCGTGTCTAAAAAGGGCGTATATGCCTCAGGCTCCAGAGCGCGTCTCAGGCATCTCATCTCTTCGCGTCCGAGTCATCCAGAACAAGATGTGATCGACATCAGGACATTCAAGGCCGCCACCACTATGAACCCCATGTGATCTAGATTGGGGCTAGTCATGGCTCGCAAAATCCTATGTGTGGCTGAGAAGCCTGCCATTGCTCGCGCAGTGGCCACTCACTTATCCGGAGGTGCTTTTCAAACAGTGGGTTTCCCTTTTAAAGAATTTTGACGAATCCAGCTAACATTGAGCATAGCATGCGATTCGTGGGAATCAATATGTGAAGAACTATGAATTTGAATTCAATTTTGGTGGTGCCTGGGGCAACTGCTCGGTCACCATGACCAGCGTAGTGGGCCATCTGACTGGCTTAGACTTTGACCGTCAGTACAAAGGCTGGATGTCCTGCCCTCCAGGATCATTATTCGAGGCTCCTGTGCAAGAGACTGTTGATAAGGTTGGCAAATTCCAGTACCTGTCTTGACTGCATGCTGATGTCTTCACTAGGACAAGCTACCAATTGCGGATAACATCCGGAATCAAGCCAAGTATGCGAAAGCACTATTTATTTGGACTGATTGTGATCGCGAAGGTGAGCATATCGGTTCCGAGGTCCGTAATCAGGCAATAGCAGGAAATGCTCGGATCGAGGTTAAGCGAGCCAAGTTCAGCAACACGGAAAGCGCGTAAGTAATGTTGATTTTTTGTGTCTACTCAAACTAATCCAAGGATAGCCATGTTCGTCGGGCTGCTCTAGAACCAGTCAATCTCGACGAATATCAGGCCAGTGCTGTAGCTGCCAGAATTGAGTTGGATCTTCGAATCGGCGCTGCATTCACCCGCCTACAGACTCTACAACTACAAACAGTGGTGGCAGCCTTGAAGGAAAAGGTCATTAGCTATGGTAAGCTGTCCGTCATTAAATATATAAGTAAAGAAATTAACGAGTTAGGATCCTGCCAATTTCCTACTTTGGGATTCGTTGTCGACCGATACTTGAGAGTCAAAAATTTCAAGCCAGAAGTATTTTGGGGCATCAAGGTCATACTCAGCCGCGAAGGCAAAAAGGTCAACTTTCTCTGGAAGCGGGTACATTTATTTGACCGAGCAGTTGTTACGATGATGTTAGAGCGGTGTTTGGTTGCAAAACAAGCCAAAGTCACCAAAGTGAACCAGAAGCCTACAAGCAAATGGCGGCCGTTGCCCTTGACCACGGTAGACCTACAGATGATGGGCAGTCGATTTCTTCGTTTGGACAGTCAAACTATTATGAAGGTAAGAAGTCCACTCTCATATTGGATGATATCTAACAAGCTCAAAGGTAGCAGAAGCACTTTACACCAAGGGATTCATCAGCTATCCCAGAACTGAGACAGACCAGTTTGACAAAGCAATCGACCTGAAGAAATTGGTCGAAAAGCAATACCCCGACACCTCGTGGGGTCAATACGCTCGAGAGTAAGCTTATTGGACTTGCCTTTCATAATACAAGACTAATGCCCATCTAGACTTATTGATGGCAAGTTCAGGACTCCTCGCTCTGGTCGCCACAATGACAAGGCCCATCCACCTATTCATCCTGTCAGCTGGGTTTCACCGAATCAATTGAATGCCAATGAAAAGAAGGTCTATGAATTTGTTGCCCGTCGATTCCTCGCCTGCTGTTCTGATGATGCGAAGGGCCAGAGCACAGAGGTTGAAATTCAATATGGCGACGAATTTTTCCACACCAATGGTCTTATCGTGTTGGAGAGAAACTACTTGGATGTATACGTCTACGATAAGTGGGAAAGCAGCCAGCAACTTCCCAACTTTGAACGGGGGAGCTCTTTGAGCCCACAGAAGCCAATATTTTCGAAGGCAAAACAACTGCTCCGAACTATCTGACTGAGCCCGAGCTCATTGGCCTGATGGATGCCAACGGAATTGGTACAGATGCTACGATGGCGGAGCATATTGCCAAGATCAAAGAACGTGAATACGTCGCCATAAACCAACGAGGCAGTGGCCGCAGCTCAGTGCAGGAATTCATTCCGACCCGTTTAGGTGTTGCCCTTGTGGAGGGGTATGACAATGTTGTCGAGGGTCTCCCTAATAGTGTGTCTCTCAGCAAGCCGTTCCTTCGCAAGGAGATGGAATTGAGAATGGTTGAGATCTGCTCAGGCACCAAAACTCGACAAGAGGTCGTTCAGCAGAGTCTGGATATGTACCGAGAAGTCTTCATTCACACACAGAGACGCATCAACATGCTGAAGACTGCCTGTCGTAAATATCTTGTTGAAGAAACCACGTCATGATTGTCAGTCACTTACAAAAGGCATTATCTATAATCATAATGAAATATTCAAATGGTTGAACTTTTCTGTCTCCAGCCCACTTGGCTTCAATTAAATTTGCACTCATTCAAAGAAAAAAAAGAGAATCAGGCCATAAAAGCCCCTATACAGATACGAAATGAATCTTCACATGTCCTAGGTCGCCTGATCATTGCGCTGACCATTGCGCTGACCATTGCGCTGACCTAATCCTGCTTTCCCATTCTTAAGACCCATAGCTCCCTCGAACGTGGGAATTCCATCGGGTTGCTCTGCCGTGTTGTAGTTGGAAGCTCCATTGGTCTGCTCGGTGCTAGGGCTCTTGCTGAAATCCGAATTGGGTTGTTCCATGTGTACTCCCTCGGGTAGGTTGTTGGACATGTTCTTCGCCATTAGTATGTTAAGCCAAGCCAACTGTCTCGGAATCTGAGGGAAACTTTCAGTATTTCTCATCAGATTCTGGTGTTGCTGACTGACCTCGTCCAGCTTGGATTCAATGTCAATCATCCCGGACGTATATTTGTTTTCCATCACCCCAACAATATGCAACAGACAATGTTGGAGGTCGGCCGAGGAGTTTGTGATAGACTCCGCCAGGTGAACGAACACAGGCCGTACTTGTTCATTTTCTCTTCGGAACTGTCGGATCTCTAACATCAAGGTACCGAATTGTTCTTGCACGCTGCTCATTCGGTCAAAATAATCGTATTGCATGTCCTCGATGTGCTGTTTGATGCTATTCGTCACCCCAAAGCCCATTATCTGCATTGTAAGAATAACCAAAACGAGAGTAGCCATGACAGTGAAATACAGCGTGTTATTCGGGGCTGGGTTGGATTGCTGCAGCTCCTCGTAACTACGCTCAGCTGCCGAGCCGTCGTTCAAATAGAGCGAGGTTGGCATCGCTGTCGCACTCGGGGCTAACATTGTCGCTGTAACTCCTGGGATGTTGACGTGTAGTGATACTGCTTCAGCCGAGTGTTCCAGGGCCAGCCTGGCATTTTCGTACTGTTGAGCATCGAGAGAAAGTTGCAGAAGGAGGTCGTATTCTGAGATTGCATCGTCATGGGGGAAGACCAAAGGGTGGACTTTGCGCAATCCGTGAATGGAATATGCAATTTCCAAGGAGCTGAGACTGCGCCAAAAGAAAGAGTTGGAAGGAGTGACTCCGGTCAACGGAATAGAATGCCAGATGCCAATGCTGCTGAGGCCGGCAAAAACGGCTCCCAGCATCAGTTGGTCGAACATCGTTCTGATTTTTATATCAGATCAGTGGGTTTCAAGAGACTCAAGGGACTCCCCGTCTTTCTCGGTGTCTTGAGAGCTTAAATATACCATGAAGATGGCGAAAATGCAACAATGAATACACAACTCTTTGTTCAATTCACCTTCAATGACCGGTGTTTCCATGTATTCAAACTTGAATAAATATTCATTTTTTTCACTCATTGGTGATTGTTTGACAGTTACATTATGTCTAACATTCTTTTTTCTTTGTTTTGTCCGTTTGGGCTTCTGGTTTATATTTAGCTAAATTTTTGGGTCTCTCCCACTTATATCCATCCCACTTTAGTCTTACCGTAGCTATATGGCTACCTAGGTATATGGTTCATCTAAAAATATCAGTAGATTTGATCATATCCAATGATGTTGAGGTAAACCTCATATTTTCTAAGATAATCAAAGCTTTGTCTGAGCACACACGACAATGAGCTCAAAGAAAATTCATTCACTAATACCAGCACAAAGAGAATCAAAAAACATGCCAGGCAGCTTTCAAACTAGTCTCCTCAATACTAGGGGCTTTTCTCAACTATCAATCCTTTTGATCGTACTGAAAGGAATAGGTAAGTTGTGACCTAGGAAAATGTTCAAAGCAAACAACAAAAGCATTACACTAGTTCCTATGTATGTATATGTACGTTTTAAAATGTGAATCTTCTAGTGTACAAGTGAACGATCTTAATGCTCTGTTTAACCAGCATAAACCCATATTCATACCATAGAGTATTAATATTGATTAACTTATGACATCAGATCAAGCTGACAATAACGGCATGGGTGAATCTTTCAAAGAAGTTTCTTATACAGCTAGCCATATTTATTATCTGTATGTTTAGAAGATGAACATGAAACTTGACAGACGTCAAGAGCTGTTTTTCGCGCTTGTGTTCTAACACGTGTCTGTTTTACCACTAGAAGTTGTATAATATAAATGAAACATGTCAACTTTATAGAGTCCAGATAAATAAAAGGCGCAATTCCTATACTGGGAGGTGCTGGTAAATCACCAGCTCGTGCTGTCGACACAATGGCCGGCTATCAATAAAATCTAAATGTTGGTAAGGTAAGACTACCGGAATTTGAAATTGGAACAGAGTCTCAGATTGTTGAGGTCACCACAAGGACATCACTAGTTAGTCTAGTAATTAAGCTCCAGGTTATCTGCCTACAAGCCAAGCTTGTCACAATTTATTCTGAATCAGTTGACCCGGGGCCTCTCTCAACAATAGTTGGGATATTTGACTTCGTATATTCTCTTATCACATTGAACTATGTATCTCATGGACTCGTCATGTCCTGCATATCAAAATACGTGGTACATGCGTATTTATGCACTATAACCTCTATGATTTGTTGTATGACCCCTCTACGAGACTCGTGAAGGCCAATGGCACCTGTCCTCCCAAGGTCAGAGCCTCACTTCCTATTTTAATTACGTGTAGGTCTGAATGGTTTATCCACTTTATTCTGTGGTAAAATAACTTGCAAGGTCAGTGCATGTGCGGCAACATCTGCCAAGAGGAAGACTTTATTGTGCCCCAGCATTTCCACCATCGTCCTCAATCATCATCTTCATCATAGTCTTCATCGTCGTCCTCAGCATACTCCTCATCGTTGTCCTCCAGATTGCCCTCCTCGTCCTCGTCCTCGTCGCTATCCTCATTGCCGTTCTCATGGTCATCATCCTTTTCGGCCTCCAGCAGGGAGATGTACCACTTGATGGCAGCATCTTTCTTGGCCTGGGTCAATCGGCCCGAGGTATTCGTCGCGAGTTGAACCCCATGTCTTATGATGTGTTGATGGAGATTTGTTGTGGCCGAGATAGGGATCTGCGTTCGATTAATAACCAACTCGGAGGCCCTTGGTAACTATAGAAGATGCACTGACATGTTGGTGTGAACAGCTCGGTACACGACAAAATACCTCACCATGGTACACAATGATTTGACCAGCAGAGTTCTGTTAACACAATTAGTAAAAATTTCCGAGGTTGATTCTCCCTCATATAGACTTACGGTCGTGTAAGGTGGGAGCTTGAGATCCCGGGTATCAGTCTTGATGAGGTACTCTCTGTACGCATCGCAGTTTCTTAAGAAGGCGGGACAGTTATACCTGTCTAGTAAAGGATCGGGGAGAGACATTGTAAAGTCTGTTTCGATCTGAGAGTTTGTTTCTGATGGAAGAGAGGATGAAGAGGAAAGCACTGGAGAGAAGAGAGGTTGTTGAGATGCTCTGGGTAGCTCCTTCCTTATTACCAACTTATCTCTTTCCCTCTTCGACATCACCTCTTCTCCTCCTACTTCAACCATTCTCTCTCTCTCTCTCTCTCTCTCTCCACACACACACACACAGACTCTGCCTTCAACTATCTCGACTCTACTCGTTATTTGCTCCTCAGCTCTCATAACCAACATGGACTTCGTGTTCGCAACCCCGAGTGATGTGACACTCATTGTCATTGAAGAGCCGAGCGAGAACGAAGAATACCAAACCAAGACGGCCTTATTTCACGTTGATCGCTCAAAATTGATTGAAAGCAGTGCATACTTTCAAAGCATGTTCGCATCTCAGTGGGAAAGAGCCGAAAATCACAAGCCCACTCTCAGAGGCGACACAATCAAAGGCATGGAAGTGATGTTAGGGTCGATTCATGGAGTCGACATCGAGCCAGATTCTGTCTCGGTCGCAGATGTCTGGTACACAATCAAGGCCTGCAACAAGTACCTGCTGGATCCCAAGAAGCTGATGGGCTGGTTCGTACGATGGATCAAATGGATTGACAAGAACAAACCCGCAAGATGGGAAAATTGGGATTTCAACCGCCAGCTGCTATTTCCCTGCCATTTCTTTGATCATGCAAAAGCATTCCAGCATATTTCAAAGAGACTCGTCTACATCACCCCGGGTCATATCACAGAAATGGCCCCGACAGACTCGCCATCATTCGAGCCGATGCATATGCCCGCTATCGTCATGCGTAAGTTGACACCACTCACAGCTTTAAGATCAAATGGTTCTAACTCGCAAAAAGAGCAACTAAACGCAGCTAGAGGGCGGCTCCGAACAATTCTCCAAAGATCGCTTTTTGAAGATGTAAATGTGGCTATCGATCATGCTCGTTGTGCCTGTGCAGCGCGAAACATCTTTTTCTACATGAGAGAACTACATAGAATCGGGGTCAGGCCGCTGGATAGTGACATTCACAAGAACTCGGTCCGTGATATTCTCGATCGACTAGAGAGCTTCGATGACGACCAGATGGCAAACAGCGATCCATTATCAATGCAGAGGTGCGAGGCATGCTCCCACTCCTGGAAACGGACAGTGGAGCATGCACGAAGACAGGTGGAGAGCTACTTTGATGGTCTATGCTTGGATTGCATGCAGAATCATCCAGACGAGAATTCTGAGTACTGGAATCTCGGCACGACAAGATACGTGTATGACAAAACCTGCCGCATCAGCCACGGCGAGCCGACCTGGTACTTCAGCTTCATGGGCCGCCGTGACAGAAATCCATACCGCATGCGACCCTGAGTGAACAAGAATAGATGAATCCTGACTCTTTTCTTGACTACTACTAATTGATCATTTACTCTGGGAGTTTGCCGAGCAATGTACGCCCATTTCTCTTCCTGACAATTTGATATCCACCATTTACCGAGTACCTAACCCTGATCTTTCAATCGGCGGCACATAATTACAATGCTAGCTGTCCTTGAGTAAAAAATGGGTGAATATATGCTTGAATCATATCATTTTGTTAGCGAAATACCAAATCGAGTAATAATTTGACAGGTTATTTTCCAAGATCATCGCCACCAATGACCGTACATCTAGCTCTGTAAGCCAACTTATAGCTTGCATATCTTCGAAATTGCATTGAAGAACCGTCATACAAACAAAGCTTGGTCAGAGCGATTATTCCTTCTTTGTGTCACCTTGTTACTTGCTACAACCCTAATGATATAGAAATGAAAAATTGTACATGGGCTGGGGGAATGTTCAGGCTGCACAGGGCCGGCTCGACGACAGCTTCAAATTACAAGTCAGATGTCTATAGAATTACAAGCGTTCGATTTGCAATTCTCACCATTGAACTGGCGACGGATGCGTAAAGGCTTCGGCCCATTTTGCTCGCACAGGAAAGGGTCCTACAGCGCTGTACGTTCCACTATCTAAATTTTGCTACGGCCGCTAATTTCCGAAGTGCTTGAGGAAAGGACATTTATAGAGGTCTAACCTTCGTGCTCTATTGAAAAGGAATGATATTAACGCATTTTGAAAGGCTGATTTGCCTACAGAGCTGATTATAGAAGTGTTGATTCAAAGATGCTCCACACATTAAGGAAAGTGATATTGTGTCTTCTACGCAGTCTTCTGTATAAACCGAGGAAATATTCATTCCTTATAACCGCCACGCGCCCATAAAGGAACCAAAAAGACGGTGAGGTGTAAGTCCAGTCTATCCCTAGTATAACGACACTCTCAGATGTCGTAACAAAAGATACAGATTGATGGCAAGCCTTGTTATATTATAGCAATATAAGCATTTTCTCACTCTCGTGGCAACATTTAAGGATGTAACAACTTACATGGGCGTCGGATTCTAGGACGAAACAGAGCCGTAGGCATGAATTTCACGATCAAATTTCAGGCACTTGACCTTCACAAATGTGCTGTCTCCGCCATCCGCCCACCAAGCGTACCTTGCGCTCACAGCAGCGCCGCATCCGTTGGCTGTGAAAAAGGTGGCTTTCTGGTGACGACCTCCGTACGTATCGACTCGAACTGACTTGGTCGCAAAGATGTTGGTACCTCTGCATGTGTTGTCCCACACATTGACACTCTTAGACTCGCCATAACAGTCGTCATTCCGATAGGTGGTGATCACGTATGAAAGAGCCCCGGGGCTAAGGCAGAAGGCAGTTGAAGAAAGCGTATCCGGATCGGCTTTGTCACGCTATCCCGAATGGTTCGAGCGTTCCTCGAGCATTGCCTGAAGAAGAGGTGCGTTAGCTGGGATGTTATCGCCGCCAAGTGCCTTTCAGTCACGGTGGTTGCTACGCTTGGGTACCGGTCCGGAGATGTGGCGCTTTCCGCTAGATATAAGAATTTCGAATGCTTGCAGTTTCGTCACATCCAGCTTGCCATTGATGGGCAGACTGCCGACATCCGCAATCTTCGAGCGGTTATCACACTAGAGAGCATAAAAGGGCACAAAGACGCCCGCAATGATGTGGTTTTCTATTTGAGACCGCTGCGAGACGGAAAGCCAGCACGTCTGTCCCATCATTTGGCTTCTTGTTCACGCTCTACGAAACGGACTAGTGTATGAAACCACACTACCGGAAGTCCTCGATCGAGCATTTATAAAACCTAGCCATAATGAGGCTGAGAAACGCGTACTCTGGGGATTTTCAGAGGCCGAGAGTTTGGCTGGAAGTGCTAGGCCGACTAACAAGTATACAACTTCAACCTTGGAAAGTTCGGCTTCTTGCTATATAATATACAAGAATAGTCGGCCGCTTATGCGGTCTTGTCGAGCATTTTTTAGTAGTCTTCTCAGGTAGTCTTCTGAGGTAGTCCTTTCAGATGTCTTTTTTGTGGTCTTTTTTGTGGTCTTCTCAGATTCTTCTCAGTTGGTCTTCTCAGTTAGACCTTTTAGATGTCTGTTTTCATAGATATTTTCTCCCCCTTTTCAATTTGTTAGCTAGACGGCAGAAAAGGGGGAAAAAGCATAATTTGTGCAAGAGAGTTTTCTATGTATAACCAGGGATATTTTGTCCCAACAGCTCGACCTGCTATGGACACAGTCTATATATATAACCCATCATTTGATTCCACCCGAACCGCTAAGGTGAACACTCCTTTAACACTACCTGGCTAAATAAACGATGTTGGTTTCTCAGTCTCAGTAGAAATTCTTAGATTATTAGAGTCTACTACTAGAAGTTGTGGCTAGCTAGTTGCGCTATTCGCTGGAATTGACTATGGATGGAATGGACTGGAAGCCACCTAATTTTTGAGAGACGTGGGCATTTCTGCTTGTGGTGTGTAACTTGCCCTATGACAGTTTTGTAATTACTCCTTGGATAAATAGTATCTATCATGCATCGTAGTAGTAACTTAAGCAATGTCTAGATGCCAAGCATCCCCGCAATTCCATCCTACCGCGGCCAAATACATTCGGCTTAAATAGTGCCGACATATTAGGCGATTTAAGGAGACTGATGCAAATCTTTCTTTATACGGCGTAGTTCTGCAGCAACGGCTTTTTATCCGTGCAACGTTACCTCCTCCGATAACTCAAATATATCTATCCACGGGTGCTAAGCGGAGTGATTATCCGGTTGATTGGCAGGTGACAGGTAGGAATCGAATCTTTGTTTATATTCGGACTCTGATAGACCGAAAAAAAGAAATTGGTCAGGTGGATTGAATATATGTCTCATAAAAAGTATAGGAATAGGAAGACGGCTAAACAGCCTTCCGTGTCCCTTCCTTGTCCATATCTTCTCTCGCCATGTGGTTCTCAATCCCAATCATATTGTCGCTGCTGATAGCACCATTGAATCCCGTGGCAGCCAAGGTCCATCAAAAGAGTTGTGTAATCAGGAGTGGGGGCACTAATGTGACCGATGATGCCCCAGAAATCCTGAAGGCATTCAGAAAGTGCGGCCATAATGGAAGAATCGTCTTCGAACCTACAACGTACTACATCAACTCTGTCATGAACATATCCTGGCTCAACAATGTTGATATCGACATCCACGGAACGCTTCTGGTATGCCTTCCCATTGTCCAGGCGTTCTGTTGAAGTCAAAGTCTGATTACTGATGATCTACCTTGTTTAAGTGGAGCACTGACATCCCCTACTGGCTGAACAACTCGATGGATGTCGGATATCAGAACCAGTCAACAGCTCTGATAATTGGTGGGAATGATGTTCGTATCAACGGTTATGATAAAGGCACGTTTGACGGCAACGGTGACTACTGGTATCAATGGATCAGAAAGCAACCAAACACATCCAACTACCCGGGCCGGCCGCACGCTGTGACATTCGACAACCTTACAAACTCTGTTATTCGTGGTCTCACCTTCCTGAGGAGCCAGATGTGGTATGTGAAAAACCGGATACTTGTCTCGAAAGGCCCATGGATGCTGTGGTCTTTACTTGCTAACCGTTGCCCTAACCTTCAAAGGACTATGTCAATAATTAACTCTCACAACGTGTTGCTGGACAGTATTCTTGTCAATAACACAGGAAACTGGGCTCAAAGCTGTAAGGCTTTCGGAAAAGATCACAGCTTTAATGAGAAAATACTGACTTGACACAGCCAACACCGACGGGGCCGATACCATTCGGTCTTCTCATATCACATTCAATAACTGGACCGTCTACAACGGTGACGACAGCCTTTCAATGAAGGCCAACAGCACCGATATAACTATCACAAACAGCAAGTTCCATAATGGTCTAGGCATTGCGATAGGGAGTATTGGGCAGTACAATGATCAATTCGAGACGATCGAGCGGATCACAGTCAAGAACGTCGAGTATGACAACACATTACATGCTGTGAGTGACCAAAACATGAACAACATATTGTATTAGGCCAGACAGCCATGGGGATGAGGTTATAACTCAAATATCCCTTAGTTCTACATAAAGACGTGGACTGCCGACCAGAATGGCTACCCACCGAACGGAGGCGGCGGTGGACTCGGGTGTAAGTATTTGATGGCTGGCTCCCATTCCACCTACCGCTCAATCAGGGAGTAATCGAGAGCTAACATATCCAGTTGCGTCTGGGATGAAACTCACGAACCTAACCACAACGGGGCTTCGCGGGGCCGCGTTCGCAATCTCGCAGTGCACGCGGTTCTCTGGTGCGCCGGGCGTGGGCAACTGCACGAATTCGGAATTTCAGATCAGAAATGTGGAGATTGACGGGCTGTCTGGCACTAGCAAATCGACAAGGTTGGCGAGCCTTCAGTGCAGTGCCGTGGCGCCGTGTACCAATATCACCATCGTTGACAGTACCCTGCACCTCGACAATGGCACCGTCGCGAGTGAGTACTTGTGTGGGAACGTCGCAAATCCGATGGGGTTCAGCTGCACTGGAGTACCTTGTGTGGGTGGGAGCGCCACTGGGGAGTGCTAAAGGATCCTCGACAGTAAATCCAAGGCTGTAGGCTGCGGACAGGGATAGGGTTGCACTCTCTGCAATGAAGAATTCATCACCAAACGACTCTATTTGGTGTAATTTAGCCGGCTGGATCAAGACTCAATACCCCTCCGTCGGCATAGATGGAATCTTGGAGAGGGGGATAGGCAACACAAATCATCGGCGAACTTCCTCGCATGTCAATGTGAATAAATGAGTACAATCCTGGTTATACATAGAAAAGTCCGTTTCACAAATTAAGCCTCTAACCGCGTTTTTCTGCTCCCTCCTTGACAAACTGAGAAGGGAGAGAAAATATCTATGTAAAACAGACATCTAAAAAGACTGACTGAGAAGACTAATTGAAACGAATCTGACAATAACCAAAAAAGACATTTAAAAAGACATCTGAAAAGACTACCTGAGGAGACTACCAAAAAAGACTTGACAAAGGCCGCATAAGCGGTCGACTATTCTTGTATAATAGAACGAGCTCAATTAATAAATTAGGGGACATTTCCATACAACACTCCGATGTAGTGTAGGGGTTATCACTGTGCTCTTTCACAGCACTAACGGGGGTTCGAATCCCCCCATCGGAGAATTTCTTTTTTTTTCCTTCTGTTTTTAGGGTCTATTTTTGATATCCGTTTCTTTATTTGCATATGTTGTAGCCAATAATAATATCTTCCTCTAAACAAAATTAGAGACGTCTTGTTTTCTCGCTTCGACACTATAAATCTCTATATATATAACCAGGAGAATATATAACTAGGAAATTAGAAGCACCACGATGTCACTCTGAAACATTAGTAGACGGGTCGAGATGTACTCGCACGCTCTCCAGGTAAGACTTTAGTCATTCAAAACCTAGGTGCATCTAAAAACTCTTACTTTCCGCTCGGGAATGTGATATTGTTCAAAGCTTTCATCGGACATAGCTTATGCTTATGATCGATGTGAACTAGGAACCCTAGTATATATCGATAACCTTTTATGGTCGTTTTATCCTTTCCCTTTCGAAATAGACACCGGGTAAAATCATATTAAAAGAGTGCGTAACCAAATATTATGCGTCTTTCCACTTCGATTTTTGTTAAACCACGTATAACTTAGAGATATATATACCCGTGTACGTGCGAATTAAAAGGACAGCGGCTTTCAGCATTATATATGAATAGGAGCCCTTAATGACATACTAGCTTCCTCTATATAAAGTTCATAGCTAGCTTAATTAAGTGAGATCTTGATAGCTCCGATCCTCGGTGCTTTTGTGTGGTTCTTATCATACATATCCAACTACTCTTCGTGCTTAATAGCCAAGATTAATTATTCAGTTTCTAGACTAGAACCAACTACTAATATAGAATAATGACACGAGGTCACCATACCCATTACGCACAGCTATCACACTTGTTTAGATTCTGGCATTGTAGTAGTTTTCTCGTTGGAAACTTAACTTCAACAACAATGAATAGGTTAACATTGGAACAACGCGAAGTGAAGTAGCAGCAAGTTTATGAGATATAGTGCCCTGGATCGCTGAAATTTGTATAGCATTCCGATGTAGTGTAGGGGTTATCACTGTGCTCTTTCACAGCACTAACGGGGGTTCGAATCCCCCCATCGGAGTTTATTTTTTTTTGTTTTCCTTTCGCTTCTTCATATCATTCATTTTATGGTATGTATGGTAGGTAGCAATATACTCAGTTTCATTTTAGGATAATTAATCTTGCTGTTCTCTCCCTTTCTACATGTAGATTTCTGTCCTAAACCGTTTGAGCATGCTTCCTTGCATTTTATTTCAATCAAATTATATGGACTTTCATAGCCTCTATCTAGTAGCTCCATGTAAGAAGCTGGGTATGACTAGAATTCATTAAATTGCTTAGGATGTATCCTCAATGTTGTGACCTTTCTCCCATCGGTGGCGCCGGCCATTCCTCCGCCTCAATGTAAGCACTAATGCTACCTACCTATGTACTCTTGAAGGTATTCAGCCTAAAACAGCCCGAGAATCTAATCTATTCCACTCGGCCCTGAAGAGACTTACCACAACAGGAAACGATCGACATACTAGTCATCCTTGAAGATCCATGCATTATTCTGCGCATTAGCCTGCCTGAGTTCATTCCCATGTTCAATGATTGGTGAGTTGCCAGTCGCATAACCATATCCGGAGAAATTTGTCCACATAGAGGGCACTTTGTTTTGGCTCCATTGGAGCACAGGTAAACGCTTGGCTCGTATATTGACGGCAAATTACCGTGTCGGATTTGGCCATTTGCACTTCGAATCTGCAGGACAAGCAGCGAACTTGGACAGATGTAACCTGGATATATTACTCCTCGGAATTTTCCGCATACAATCCTGGATTAACGAGGCAGCTAAGGTGAGATGGCATGACAACCAGCAAATATACATTTTCAAAGCCACGGGAAAGCCACGGGATTTTAGGGCTATCGTCAGGTACCACATGCAACTGCCGGGATGCGGGGGATCATCCTGCGCTTTTTCCGTTGGTCGGTAAAATTATATCCCTCCCAATCGCCAATATTTTGCACAAGAGCGCTGCCATTTGGACTTCCGATTTGCGAAACAGGCCGCGGCGCATCCGGGCAATAGAATCTTGAAACACCGGCTTTTGCCATGCTGCTAGAGCCTGTCTCTCCTTGGAGTATGTACTCCGTGTTGTCGATACTACTGGCAAACCCCGCAATGTGATTCACTGTAATAGCCAAGACTTGGCATGTGTCCTTCATCTTACCTTCTTTACTTCCGATGCTTCGGGTTGGGCAATCCGTCCAATGTGTTGTACCACGTCTCCATAAATCAAACCATCGCGCTGCTGATCTATTGTGCCTACGGAGTAGTGTCTGTCCTGTTCTCTTATTCCGGACTAGGAATACTCAAGGAAACGTGGGAGAGACCAGTATGTATAAATAGAGCCTCGGTTTCAAATTAATATATTCCCGAGACGGCGAATTGTCCCAAACGTGATATCAAAATAGAGATTAGCATGTATAAACCAGGGGAATAACAACAGTACATAGTATCAAATCATTTCTGCTAGACAGCTGGTATTGCAATGGAATTATTTTGTTCACAATATCATGGTCTCAGACTGAAACGCTTTATGCCCGAAGGATCTACAGAACCACCCCCCCCGTCTTTGGGCTTAACGCCTCGCAGATTATCCCACATTATCTGACACCCCAAAAAAGCCTTTTGACAGTTTGATGTCAGTGGAGGAGCGCCATGGCGCCCATTTCATCTAGGGGCGCTCTTGGCAGGCTTCAACCCTTCAACCCTTCAAACCCCACAAAGTGTCTCATGATCTTTGATTCTGTAGAGCATACGGGGGTAGTAAAAATCATATAGTCAAGTTGCTGCCCAGACATTACCCGCCCGGATATCTAAATGAAAGATCGACAGGCAACATACCTCAAAGCGTCTTCGTTTGCAGTCATTGCTCCTTGCACTATTAAGCTCCCCGAATCTTATACAGCAATCGACAGAACTGGATCGGGGCATCCTCCGTTTTCACAGATGTTGAAACGAGTAGCCCATGTTTATCCACTGCAATATCAGTAAGGACCTTGATGAGACATCTCACCACAGTCATCCGGCGATGATCATTCCCTTCCTGATTCAGGCGCCGGTTCCACTCTCAAATCAATGTATGTACCACACCGGAGGTCACCCAGTATGGTAGTCGATACTGGATTGATGATTGTGGACTCACTATCCATACCAATTTGGTGACGGCCTCACGGTCCGTCACACCGGTTATGCTATGCAGAAAGGACTATTGTCAAGGCTTGCATTACAATGACTTAGAGCAATCCTGTGCGGAGAAAAGACATATAAAGATCTATTCCCACCCCGAGATTATTTTTGTTCATCAACTGCAGGCCAGACAACAAGATAACAAGATAACATTGCAAACCGACCTTTGCTTCATCCGCAATGTATCAACGCGCACTTCTTTTCTCCGCCCTGGCGGCGGCAGCCAATGCCCAGCAAGCTGGCACATTGAAAGCTGAGACCCATCCCTCTTTGACCTGGCAAAAATGCACTGCCGAGGGCAGTTGCACTGACCAGAAGGGCTCTGTTGTCATTGATTCCAACTGGCGCTGGCTTCACTCTGTCGATGGTTCCACCAACTGCTACACTGGAAACGAGGTAAGAAATTCCGAACCGAGAAGATGAGTGTTCATGTTGATTGACTTCTTTGATAACAGTGGGATGCGACTCTCTGCCCCGATGACAAGACTTGCGCCACAAACTGCGCTCTGGACGGCGCTGACTACGCCGGCACCTACGGTGCGACCACCGACGGCAATGCCCTCACTTTGAGCTTCGTCACTGGCGCCAACATTGGCTCTCGTCTGTTCCTGATGGAGGACGAAACTACCTACCAGATGTTCAAGCTGAAGAACCAGGAGTTCACAGTCGATGTGGATACTTCCGAGCTGCCCTGCGGACTCAATGGAGCTCTGTACTTTGTCTCCATGGATTCCGATGGTGGCTTGGAGAGGTACGAGGGCAACAAGGCAGGTGCCAAGTACGGAACTGGCTACTGTGATTCTCAGTGCCCTCGTGATCTGAAGTTCATCAACGGCCAGGTGAGTTTTTCGACCAGCCAATTCGAAAAGGTTGTGGGAAAAATAACTAATGCGCGATACAGGCCAACGTGGACGGCTGGGTGCCTTCTGAGAACGACAAGAACGCTGGTGTTGGCGGCCACGGATCTTGCTGCCCTGAGATGGATATCTGGGAAGCCAACAGCATTTCCACTGCTTACACTCCTCACCCCTGCGACAGCCCCGAACAGACCATGTGCGAGGGCGACAACTGCGGTGGAACTTACTCCTCCACCCGCTACGCAGGAACCTGCGATCCCGATGGATGTGACTTCAACTCCTTCCGCATGGGCAACGAAAGCTTCTACGGCCCCGGCAAGACCGTCGACTCCAAGTCCAAGATCACCGTGGTTACTCAGTTCATCACCAGCGACGGTACCGACTCCGGCACCCTCAGCGAGATCAAGCGCATCTACGTGCAGGGCGGAAAGGTCATCGCCAACTCGGCCTCGGATATCACCGGTGTAACCGGAAACTCGGTTACCACGGACTTCTGCACAGCCCAGAAGAAGGCCTTCGGCGATGAGGATATCTTCGCTCAGCACGGTGGTCTGGCTACCATGGGCAAGGGTTTGGACCAGGGAATGGTTCTTGTCATGAGCTTGTGGGATGACCACTATGCTAACATGCTCTGGTTGGACGGCGAGGTCTACCCTACTGATGCCTCTGCCTCCGACCCTGGTGCTGCTCGCGGCACATGCGCCACCACCTCCGGCGATCCAGAGACCGTTGAGAAAGAGTCGGGCTCCGCCAAGGTGACATACTCCAACATCAAGGTCGGCCCCATTGGCTCCACCTTCGCTTCTTCCTAAAGAGTTAAAATGACAGGTACTTGCTGAGCTCGGCTACACCTGGAATGCGGGGTCTTCGTGCTGCATAAATCCTTGAGCCAGTGACAGAAAATGCCCAATTTGGAAGAAAATGGTGAATGGTATATAAAGTTTCTTTCGTTGATAGTTGTCTGTATTCTTGATTGTATTCTTGGTTTATTTGTCTTAGAATCAAAGTTGTTTATCAGAATTGAATTGATCTCATTTGCCGATTTGAACCTGAAAAGTAAAGAAGGCGGTCGGTATATTCTCGGCGGGGCAGAAAAAAAAAACGGCAAAGGCCAGCTCTAAAGCTCTAGCTTTTGCAATTGGTTCTCTTGATTCAATTCACACGAATTCGGATTTTTACTAGGCTCACTAGAAACCTTCAGATCTTGTGCTCATTTCCCTCGCAATTCGCAACCATGTTCGACACGGTCTGCACGCTTCCGCTTTCCTCGGACCTCTTCGCTCAGGCTATCCACCCCGAGGAGCCCGTAGTCTCTGTCGGTCTGGCCTCGGGCCACGTCCAGACCTTCCGACTGCCTTCCTTAGAAGGAGAGGACGATGCCGATTCTGCACCGAATTCGTCGGCCCGGACCGGAAAGGGTCACATTGACACAATGTGGAGAACCCGGCGACACAAGGGTAGCTGCCGCACCCTAGGGTTCGGTACGGATGGCAAAACCCTTTACTCAGCGGGTACAGACGGTATGGTGAAGGCTGCAAGCACGGAGACTGGTCAGGTGCAAAACAAGATTGTGATCCCTCTTGAGAAGAACGGGTAAAGGAACTCTCCCGAATATCAAGCGTTGCAACCCAGACCTTTGCATTTGGCTGACACGTCTGTTTTTGGATGTCATATAGCTCTATTGATGCGCCAACCATGATCCACGCCCTTTCTCCTCAAACTCTTCTCCTCGGTACCGACTCAAGCGCTCTGCACCTCTACGATCTCCGTATCCCCTACTCCAAGGTGTCCGCGCGGCCTGAGCAGTCACACCACCCCCACGACGACTACATCTCTTCTCTTACTCCTCTGCCGGCTTCCGAAACTAGCACGTCGGGCTTCAGCAAGCAGTGGGTCACAACTGGTGGAACAACCCTGGCCGTGACAGATCTCCGGAGGGGCGTTCTGGTGCGCAGCGAGAACCAGGAAGAAGAATTGGTCAGCTCCGTCTTTATGGGTGGTCTGCCCTCCAGCGGAACTAGCCGGGGCGAGAAGTTGATTGTTGGTGGAGCCAGCGGTATCCTAACTCTCTGGGAGAAGGGTGCGTGGGATGACCAGGATGAGCGGATCTACGTTGACCGCAGTGCCGATGGCGGAGATTCCATCGAGACAATGTCAGTTGGGCCTGACTATTTGGGCAAGGTGGTGGCCGCAGGCCTCTCAAGCGGAAAGGTGAAATTCGTGCGCATCGGACCCAACCAAGTCGTTTCTGAGGTTGTGCACGATGAGATCGATGGTGTTGTGGGCTTGGGCTTTGACGTGGAAGGCCGTATGGTCTCTGGTGGTGGTCAAACCGTCAAGGTGTGGCACGAGGCTGAGGACAATGTCGGTGATGGATCTGGCGATGAAGACATGATGGATGATAGTGATGACGATAAGGATTCGGATGACAGCGATGCGGAACGTCGCGAGGATCCAAAGGACCGAAAGAAGCGCAAGAAGTCCAAGAGCAAGGACCGCAGTGGTGGACAGCATATCATGGCCTTCCACGACCTGGACTAATGTCTCAATACCCCATTATCTGATACCCACATCTGCAGATCAATTGTTCAACCCGAAAATAAGAAAAAGTGTACATAGCGTTGGTGTTAGGGTTTCTAAGAGCTAATTGGAGGAAAAATATCTATATCTCCATCTAGAGATAATGTACTCCGTATGTTTCCCTCCTTACTTTACTCTAGGTTGTTCCAAGGTCCACGGCTTGTTTTCCAACGCCAACTAAGCATCAGGGGCTCAGAATCGCAGTAAATATCGACATCATTGATGTCTTGCTTTGTATAGCACCTCAAACCCAATCGGCCGATACTGACTCCAACCATACAAAAATTTCGCTTCATTCAGCAACACAACTCCAAATAATGCACTAGCACGAATCATTCTTCAAGCAAATCAGACCACTCCGGAATATCCTTGATAAGTTTCCACATGTACTTCTCCAGCTTGACCGCACACTTAGCGTATACCGTTGTGGCGTCATTATACTGCCGACAGTTACTGAAAATCAACTTGAGATCGTCGACAAGGTCTTTTGGAGTAGTGTAATGCTCCAATCTTTTTTCTATGGTTGACAGATCCATTGGCGATACAATGGTGTTGTAATAATCAGGGACTTCATCTTTGTTGACAGGACTGAGGAAGGGCCATGCTTGATTGTGGTTTTGGATTTCATTTATAAAACCTCGAAATTCGTTGAAATGAGGTCCGTTGAACCGAGATCCGCGGGATGCTTCTCGTGCTAACTCGTCCATATCTGGAGACCAACCAGTTGCCCGGATGGCAGGGATGGAGAGTGGATCGATTGGAATCACGACGCCGTCGTTCGCGTCAGCCCATTGCTGAGGCGGTAGATGAATGATATGACTTTTGCTCAAAGTTCGTATTTTGGCTAGAACAGATTCTTTCTGCTTGAGAAGCATTCGACCAGTTTCGAGATATCGTATTCGGGCAAGCATTGAGCATTGCATAAGAGTACCTCCATCGTAATCCTTAATACACCCCATCCAGATAGAATTGTCGAGAGTAATCTCTTTGGTAAAACCTTGCTTTTGAAAATACCCGATGGCATGATTATCGGCGTAAGTCAGAAAATGCATCACCGGGGAAGTAGCTCTGATATAATCCTTTAAATGGGCCATGAGATGCGCTCCGTATCCTTTCACCTGCTGATCAGACGAAACTGCACAAAAAACGATTTCGGCAAACTTGCGGTCTCGGAATTCTCGAAATGCTATGCCACCAATGACCTCTAGAGGCATTTTAACGATAGCGATCGATACATGAGAGCGATCGTAGACAAGACGTGCGATATAAGCCTTAAGCATTTCCGGAAGTTGCTTTTGAAATAGGCATTTGAGACCTGTAAGAATAATCGTACTCTCTCTGGAGCCGTCATTGTTGACAACTCGGAACTCGATCTCGCCATTTCGTTCTTCCAAGACTGCAGGCTTTAGAGCAGTTAGAAATCTTCTTGATATTCAAAGGTGCTAGCATACCTTCTCTGGGAAAGGAGCCTTCCGGGTTATGGCTGGAGTTTCAACGTCCGCCTCTGTCAACCCATTGTGAAAGCCTTTGGATCTTTTGGTATCGGGGGCGATATTCGGCTCTTCACAAGCCGTGCGCTTCGCGACGAGGAGATTTGGCCCGCTGTCGGCTTGCGACTCTACTTTGTCCATTTGCGTGTGTTGGCGACGCTGAACTTGCGATAGGAAACATGCAAAATCGTATAAGTGAACTTCGGGCTCACTGAACTGATTGCAGTCTTCCCCCCACAATAATGGAATGCTGAGTTAAATAGAATCCGAGGTCAGAGGTCAATTCAGTGTAGGACCCGGTGGTCAATGCTCACTGGATGCCACTTGTTCTCGCTTATATAAACACTGTTTGGTTTTGAGATGTAATTGTATGTTTGGTTTTTCTAGGGAAGGCACATAGAAGATCAAAAGAGAAAAATAAAACCATGCATTCACCTGGGGACTATAGGAAGCGCACGGACGGGGGAGAGGAGAGGAGTGGATGTAGTGGAGAGAAAGAGATCTACAAGGCCCCAGTGATGTACATACACATCTGGACGATCCCATCACGTGAGTTAGACATATAAACAACCTTCTAAGTAGAGGTAGTTGAGATAATGATATTTATGAGCGGGACAAAGAATTGAACAGCCGCTATTCTAGTCCCATGATCTTGACTGCTCATTCCTAATGCATAGTCAGACTCAGAGCTTGCGGGGTCCAAAATACTGGTGTCTTCAGCATTGTCGTCGACAGAAATCGGATTATTGCAAGTCGCTTGTGTGTTAACGTCAATCGCATTTAACACCCACTGTGATCCAAGAGAAGATGGTTTGATTTGTGTATCTGCTCAATGTGTCTGTTTTGGCTTACTTGGGAATCTATAACATGCGCAATAGAGAAATAATCCAGTGTTAGAAGGCCTGAAATTGAAATATACATTATTAACTTTACATATAAAACCCTGACATTACCATGCCTCAGGTGACTTTTTCCCAGTCTGTTTACTATTGTGATTAGTCCGAGTCTCATGGGTGATATCAATCTGATTGGAGACCACGATAGCACCCGAGGCCGGGTTGCCAGACATAGGTGCCGGATATGCCTTCAAGTTCTGCATTTTAACGTCTTCCATCATCCGTTCCTCACTCTCGGTAAATGACATACCAATGGTCATAGGATCCGTACTCGCAGGACCGTGACCCTTCCGACTAGCATAGTCGCCGCCGCCACCAATGCTCCGGAAACCACCCGAGGGCGATTTATGTGTCTTTTGGGACGACTGAAACTGGCTGCCGAAAATTTTGCTGAGCCAAATTCTGAACAGGTGAAAGATCATGGGAAGATTGGTCGTGACGACTGCGACGAACGTTTCGCGGGTTCCCCATTCATTGGCGAGTTGTGCACCGTCTTCAGGATCCTATAGAAAACGATCAATGGAATTAGACAAATACCTTTAAGCCGGGGGCAATGCGAATATATCGAAACTCACCACTAGGAGAAAAACACTCTTGATAGTGGCGCAAACAAGAATAAAGATACCCGCACTGAGTACGATAGTGGCCGCGATTTTCTTCAAAGGCTTCAGACTCGATTGCCAAAGCATGGGAATCGGGATGAATATAAGATATGGATCGGTAATGAGGTTAGCGGCGAACGTTACTGCGATGACCGGCTTGGAAATGGCCGGTTGGCACACGTCTAGAGGCATAGTTAGCAGATGTTGAGTGCCTAGGGCAAGATGAGAGTCTCACTGCCGGGATCTGGATTGATCTGCCAGTTTTTGTGGAATGGTCGGCATGCGCTAAATATTGTGATGACACTTGCGACAAAGCTCCCGATGACAAGGGCAAACCCAACATAAATGGGAATTCGATAGCGCCGGCCAAGGCCATCCTGTCTGGTATCAGTTACTTGTTGCGAAACATCGATTGTTGGGAATTATCGAGAGTAATACCATTAGTCGAACGTAGAATGCCAGCATGGACAACTTGAGTGAATTAATCAATGCCGAATAAGTGGTCCAGCCCGCGATTTGAATCTTGGAGCCAATTACTCTAATCAAATGATTAGTGATCGCATTCGAATTTGCTCTTTGGTTGACAATTTGGGTAGACGCACCTGGCCCTGTACATTGGGTTGTCTGGGTGTAGTGCCTCTCGCTGGGCGGTTGTCATGCCATTGTTGGCGAGGCCATTAGATACATTGCCCACACTATAAGCAAGCGACGTCTGTGCAGTATAGAGTATCTGTACGAATTGGAAATCAGCAATCAGTAGGACGGCATATGATCAATTGGAGTCAATCACAATTGCAACCCATATAACATAATCGTCGAGTCGTAAATTCCTCCATCCCCCGGCTCTGCTCCGAGCGTATGTTCTAAGAATTGTCACGGCAACGCCAATTGAATATAACGTCCATAATTCAACTGTGGACTTGTAGGCAGCATCCGCCGCGGCATCTCGCGGCTCTAATCCAAATGTCATGATGCTCGACATTCGTGAAAGATAGCGGGGGACGGGATTAGAGCGAAGATTTGCGCATGAGAATAGAGAAGGCAAGAACAGTAGATTATCTCCCCTGCACTAGCGCAAATCTCTCTTCGATCGCTGGATTACGATTTCGCCCCAAACGGGAGATATTCATCGGAGAAACCTAAGAAAATACTGGTACGCGAGCGGGTATCTATGGTCCATACAACCTTGGAAAAGGCCTGGAAGGTTCGTTCCGTTCACAAGGATTCCAAGGTTCCGCGAATATCTTGATTTTTTGGAAGCCACAAGTGCAACTGGGCACCAAATTGACCCAGATAGAGTTTGTCTAAATTAGTAGGTATCTGCGTATCCATGGATGTCCACGTGTTAACCGTGGATCCTTCAGCTGGCTATTTTTCCAGGTTCCAAGATTCGGCATTTATACCGATTACGGTCGATCGGATACAGTTTACTCCGTTTCCCACATGGCAGCGAATGACACCTGCTAGGCATATTAGGCATTTTGAGAGGAAAATTGAACCCATTGCCCCTGACAGAAAAAAATTAATCTAAGCAAATTTGAATTTGATAAATTAAGTGGCATTCCCTCTAAATTAAATCCGACCTGAAATCTAAGACACATAGTTGAGGATGTCCAGTAGCGAGATAATAGTGGAACCTTTGCGAAGGCGCGATGGATGCACCACCCCACAGGTTTGGGGCCATACCGGTATTCATATCCAACCATGATGCAGCTAAGCACGTTCCATTCGAGCACCATAGTGGATCTTAATTGTCCCGATCAAATGGTTGCGTTTATTAGGGCTGCGATACAGGCTGATGCCGGATGTAACATGGCTTAGCCCCCTGCATTAGCGTGGCTACAGGGAAGAGTCTGCCGGCAGTTCTCAACCGGGAGAAACATTAAAAAGGCATAGGACGATTAGGGAGTGCAATTACGGAACGTAGGGAGATTATTTACAACCCGTTGGAGATATTGTAGGGCTGTTCTACAAAACCGTACAGAAGAGGAGCGCTAAGCCGGAGTGGATTTCTTTATCTTATAACTATGCCATTGAGGCGTTTTCAAGAATAATAATTACTTTGTACTGCGGTATTAAAAGGAGAAACAACCTAACCAAACTAACCCTAGGGCAGTTTTACAATGCAATAAATAGTTAGAGGACCGCACAACTGGCAGGGATTCCGACCGAGGTGCAGCATAACATACCCACTTTTTCTTGACGTCTTCTGACGATTGAACACAAGGGGTATTTGGTTTTGTTTGTTTTTTAGTCTTTACCAATTTCAAGACATCCTCTTTTGAGCAATGTATCGACTCAAGATAGAGCTGATCACGGCCGTTGCGGCTTGGGCACTTTCCGCGGCCTCCCTGACTTTCCCTAGCGGTATCGAGGGGGGCCTTTGCCCACGTGGCGATGCTGACTTGGAGGCCCTCGGCAAGAAGCTTTCAAGCTCTGCCAAGGTGTATTCTCCGGGGTCTAGCGGGTTCAAGGATGTTACAACGCGGTGGTCTGCTCTTGAAGAACCTAAGGTGAACATCGTCGTCGTGCCCGGCACTGAGAATGATGTTGTTGAGACGGTATGTAAAATTTCTTTTCTGTATATCTCAATTGGGCAAAGACAGATACTAATTGTGATGGTTTAGGTGAAATTTGCCAACAAGAAGGACCTGCCCTTCCTCACGTACAATGGTGTCCACGGAGCCCTTGTTTCGCTGGGTAAGATGGACCATGGCGTCGGAATCTCTCTGAGCCAGCTGAGCAGCGTCAAGATTGCCAAAAATGGAAAGACAGCCACGATTGGTGGAGGAACCATGTCTAAGGTGGTCACCGACCAGCTTTGGGCCGCAGGAAAGCAGACAGTTACTGGAACCTGTGAATGTGTCAGTCTTCTAGGACCGGCGCTTGGCGGTGGACATGGATGGCTCCAGGGCCACCACGGACTCGTCTCTGACCAATTCGTTGCGATGAATGTCGTTCTTGCCGACGGTACCTTGAAGACGATTAACCAAAGCTCCGACCTCTTTTGGGCGATGAAGGGTGCTGGCCACAACTTCGGCATTGTGACTTCTCTCACCAGTAAGATCTACGATATCCAGCACCGTGACTGGGCTATCGAGACGCTCGCTTTTAGTGGTGATAAGGTCGAGGCTGTCTACGAGGCTGTCAACGAATATCTTCTGAAGAATGGCACCCAGCCCGCCGGTGTCATCAACTGGTCGTACTGGATGAACAGAGCCGATATTGACCCAAACAACCCTGTCATCGTATTATATATCATCCAGGAGGGAGTGAAGGCCGTCGACTCGATTTACACCAAGCCTTTCCACGACCTCGGACCGCTTTCCGCTGTGCCCCAGACAGGCACCTACAAGGACCTCGCTGGATGGACCGGCATTGCCCTAGACTCCCCGCCATGCCAAAATGTCGGGTTCGCTAACCCCCGCTACCCCATCTATCTCCAATCATACGACATTCCGGCTCAGAAGAAGGCATGGGAAATCTACGCCCCTGCCATCAGTGGATCCTCTGCCTTCAACAATTCAATCCTCATGTTCGAGGGTTACTCCTTTGGGGGCGTGCACGCGATCCCCAGCAGCTCGAGTTCTTTCGCTTTCCGCAGCTCGAATATCCTTGCCGCTCCGCTCATCAACTACCTGCCTGGCGATGCAGCAGTTGCGGCCAAGTCGGTTGATTTGGGTAACCAACTCCGCAACATCCTCTTTGAAGCCAGTGACCGCGAGGACATTCGCGCATATGTCAACTATGCCCACGGAGATGAGACACCGCAGCAGCTGTATGGCAGCAACCAACAGCGCCTGCTGGCCCTGAAGAAGAAGTACGACCCGACTGGCAAGTTTAGCTTTTACGCGCCGATCGCATAGATGAGTTGAGCAAGGGCTTGAAGATTTGTGCGTATAACAACTTGTTGCAAGCATACGTGCGTAGAACACGCACATAGAGCTAGGATCGTTTGAATAATCTATAATTAATTTGATCCAATTTACTACTATAGGAGCTCGGCTAGTCCAGACACCTCTAGGGCTGTGTATGCCTGAAGCATTATGTATCAGTAAATCAGGACTCATTCAAGTCCCACACAAACTCTCAGTAAATCAATACAATGGATTACATTAGGTCTGAGCATGGACTGGAATTCCAGCCTGACTCTGAGTCTCACCAAGCGACCCCGGGACAGCAAATGTATAGCAAAGCCCCACTCGGCAGTTTGGGGAAATTTATATCCGTCTAGGCACAGTCCACCCGTGGACGGATGGGTATTTCCGTCGATCCTTCACTATGACCGGAACATCCACAGCCACACAAGAAGAATCGAGCATACCCAAATAATAATATGCCAAATTAGCCACTAAATGCAAAGGTCGCCAACTTGCAGTGGCTCGGAACATCACCAGATTACAACTGCCGATAAAACCCCACGGCCCCACGGAATGACATTCCTCGAATGCGGTGGGGTGTGGGGTACGGACTATACATAATATGACAAGCCTCGCTCTCAAATGATTTAAACACAAAATGGATACCTTCGAGTACAATCCCAACCCCGGCCGTGTCATCTTCGGCAGCGGCACGCTGCAAAAACTCCCCGATGAGATCTCCCGCCTGCAGGTGAAGGCCCCGCTGGTGCTCTCGACACCCCAGCAGGTCAGCCAAGCAGAGACAGTTAAGGAGGTGCTCAAGGGTCAGATCGCCGGTATTTTCAGCGAGGCGACTATGCATACTCCCACGAATGTCACAGATAAGGCTCTTGAGTATGCGAAGGCCCAAGGAGCCGACTCGGTCATTTCTATTGGAGGCGGAAGCACTATCGGTCTCGGCAAGGCGATCAGCATCCGCACTGGACTGCCGCATATCTGTATTCCGACTACATATGCTGGTAGCGAAATGACCCCGATCCTCGGTGAGACTGCAGATGGAATGAAGAAGACTCGCTCGGACCCCAAAATCTTGCCTGGCACGGTTATTTACGATGTGGACCTCACAATGACCTTGCCGGCAGCTATGAGTGCCACTAGCGGTGTCAACGCCATTGCGCATGCTGGTAAATATACCTAATTAACCCGCATCAGCTTTCTATGCACCACTAATGTGTTCCTGGATAGTCGAGGCTCTCTACGCGCGAAACACTAACCCGATCATCAACATGATGGCGCTCGAGGGCATACGGGCACTTGCATCCTCCCTCCCCGAGATTGTTGAGAAACCATCTTCTCAATCTGCACGGTCCAAGGCCTTGTATGGTGCCTGGCTCTGTGGAACATGCCTGGGCAGCGTGGGCATGTCCATCCACCACAAGCTGTGCCACACACTTGGCGGCAGCTTCAATCTTCCTCACGCTGAAACCCATACCGCTGTCCTCCCGCATGCCATCTCATACAATGCACCTAACATCCCTGAGACTATGAAACAGTTGGCTGATGCCCTGCCGGATAGCAATGGTGACGCGATCCACGGTTTGAACGTTCTCTTGGCTAAGCTTAAGGTCAAGCGTGGCGTGAAGGATTTCGGTATGAAGGAAGAAGATATCGATAAAGCAGCTGATCTTGCGCTATCTAATGCTTACTGGAATCCTCGCCCGATTGAACGCGCACCGATCCGCGAATTGCTTCGCAGGGTTTGGGCGGGAGAACTAGCACAGGCGAATTTGTAGGTATCCTTTGCCCTTTTATGTCGACATGATAAAATGCATAAATAGCCCTGTGACTTGGGAATAATTTGAGTGTATTTTCACCAAAATGTGACTAAAAAGTCGGGTTGCTTCTCTGCCAATGGGCTCTGTTGTATTTTCCCGTTATCCATGGCGGGGTGAAGTGGGGGAAGATCTTTTTTTTTCTCCAAAACTTTTAGCATTCTCGTCATTCTTGGCTCAACAACACACTTTCCCCTCTGTTGTACGAAATGGGGTCTGAAATGAAGTCGGCCCCTGTGCTGTCGACTGCTGATGATCGTATTCTCGAAGAAACCAATCCAGTGGCCACGCGAGACCCAACGGCTCCAGTGTCAGACGATGAACTCTCCATTACCTACGATATCGAGCGCACATTGAAGGATATTCGGCAAGCGCGGTACAAGCGCATTGCTCTCCAGTTCCCAGATGATATGCTTCCTGATGCCCCGCGAGTATTTCAATTGCTCAGCCGGGGCCTGGAACGTGAGGAAGTCGGCACCAATGGCACACAGCCCTCGAACCAGACCGATGCTAGCAACGCCGATGCTGACCTTGCTCACTCGATAAATGAGCTCCAGGTGGAGGATAAAACAGAACAATACTCGGCTCGGTTGACAATTTTGGCCGATACATCTTACGGGACCTGCTGCGTTGATGAAGTGGCCGCGGAACACGTGGACGCAGATGTGGTTGTGCATTACGGGAGGTCTTGTCTGTCGCCAACAGCTCGGCTACCCGTAATCCATGTCTTCACACATAAGAATCTGCCCCTTGAACCAGTGGTACGAGCGTTCAAGGCGACTTATCTTGACCCAACAACCAAGGTTATCATCGCAGCCGATGTTACCTACGCAGACCACGTTCCTACGGTATACACTCGCCTGCTGGAAGAGGGATATACCAATATATATTCAACAGAGATTGTTCATGAGCCTTCCTCGTCGATTCCAAATCGCACAGTCCCCGAGTCGGTTCAAGAGGCGCCTGAGACGCTGGCCGACTGGCAACTGTTTCACATCTCTGATCCGCCAACAGCTCTCATGATGACACTTGCGTCTCGCGTTGCCGCGATCCATATTTATCCCACCAATGACCTTTCAAATGAAAATGTTAAGCCATTGCCTGCTTCAACTGCTGCGGTTTTGCGACGCCGCTATGGCACTCTTGCCTCTCTGACGACCGTGCCTATTTGGGGCATTCTTATCAACACTTTGAGTGTCAAGAACTACCTGCATATTGTGGAACATGTCAAGGAACGAATTGCTGAAGCAGGCAAGAAGAGCTACATGTTCGTGGTTGGTAAATTGAATGCTGCCAAGGTAGCCAATTTTAGTGAAATCGGTGGTTGGGTGGTTATTGGCTGCTGGGAGAGCTCTTTGGTGGATAGCAAGGATTTCTGGAAGCCAGTCATCACTCCCTTCGAATTAGAGCTGGCCTTGAAAGACGATTCAGACCGGGTGTGGACAGGAGCGTGGCAGAGTGACTTCCAGGCAGTTCTGGACGCACCAGCTCAGGCGGTCAACGGAAATGAAGATGACCAGGGGACATCCAATGGCGCAACCATGTCCGATGAGGACGACATGTCAGAACCCGAGTCGGCGCCGCCCGAGTTTGACTTTCGCACCGGTCGATACGTCTCACATTCCCGCCCAATGCGGGATCCCGCGCCGCGCGCTTCTCAGGTCGATGGGTCATCCACCACCGGGCCATCCGCTGCTAGGGCACTGGCGCGACGAGCTAAAGGTGACTTGGCTATGATTGGCGGTGCCGTTTCACCAGGGGCAGAATACTTGCGATCGCAACGGACGTGGAAGGGTCTGGGTAGTGACTTTGATATTCGATACGATGAGGAAGACTCGGAGGATAGTACCCTGGTCAAGGAAGGGCGCAAGGGTATTGCGAGGGGCTACACTGTAGGTGATGCAGCCGACAAACATTAGTCCACATGGCCTAGCATAGAAACCATTTGCAATAGACCCAGCGATCAATGCATTTCATTTTCCTTTGCAGAACAAAATCCAGGAACCACGCAGATCATCAAAATCCGGGGGTTTGATGGCTATCACATGACGCTGGTCTCTCCTAACGGGCGCATCCGGATCCATGGATATATCACCTTGTCTTTGCTCAGCTTCTGCACCACTTCTCCCACTCTTTTTTGCTCCCCTTCATTTCTTCAATAGTCATAGGGGCATAAATAATAATCTTCCCTCTCTTTGCTTTCCCCTCTCTTTGGGGATTTCGTCTGTTCCCCTCCTTTTTATACCCCTCCCTTTCTCCCTCCCCCTTCAGATACCCCAATTCGTCAGCCCTTGCGATCCCATCTTTTCAATTATCGACTGTTTACCTTTAATGGCCTTGCATGGTGGCTTACCTCAGGGTGTGCTTGCCCCCTCGATTGCATCTTCAAGTTGTCTTATCATGTGCCGCGTCTCTAACCGCCGAGCTCGCGACCTCGCGCTATCTCGATCTTCGACCTAAGAACCGGCATCTTTTGTTCACCCAGGACCTATGACGAATCACGGTCTTGAAACCATGGCTAGGAGTGATGTTGCTGGTGAGGACCCAGCGTCGCACCTGACGGTGCTGGAAAATGCATTGCAACACTCTGTTATTTCAGAAGAACGAACCCTGTCCACCTTTGAGCGAGTGATAACAACAAATGCACCCATATTCGAGTCTCTGTTACTTCAGATCCCGACCGATACCATCATAAAGCTGTATCACACTTCAAATTACCTCCGTACGTTCCTTCGATCATATCCGACCGCATGGAAGTCACTCTCGTTTCGCCTACAATTTCCTTCAAGCACTCTGCCAAATCCTCAAATCAATGACCCAAGCGGCCCTGAAACAGCCCCCGCGCGTCAATCCCGACCGTATGCCCTAGACATGTTCCTGATGAATGTGGTGATGCCATTCAGTAGGTGTTTGAAAAGCCTAGAACTGGATAACACGGCCATTTCGGGAGAGAACCTGACCTCGACCGTGCTGCATTCACGTCGGGAGACGCTGGTACATCTCTCTATTCGAGGCTGCAAGAATGTCTCTTTAAAATATCACATCGTTCCTTTCTTGACCATGTTCGCGCTGCAATGTGACATTGACATGGAGAATAATACCGGCAGCTCTCCCGGAATGCAACGACTTGCTCTCAAGAGTATCTACGCCTACCGATGTCGTCATCACCGAAGACGCCCTTATTTATCATCTTCACTGATGCGGAAAGACGCTGACGCGGAGTCGACCCATGAACTTGTCAATATCTGCCACAAGCTAGGCATCTGGACTGATACCGCTTGGTGCACCACACCTGCGGGTAGATGTGCTCGCAGAGCCGGTTATGTCAAATCGAGGTTCCCGCATGGAGCAGGGTCGCCGGAAGTTTGGGTAGTCTTTGATCGACTCTGGAGATCTAAAAATTGGATCGGCCCAACTGAGTCTGAGACCCCTCAGCCACACGTATACGATGGAAAGCTGTGGGAGAATCGGGACACTGGATTCTATGGCGAGGCATTAGGAACTGGCGAGGGTATCGACTGGGGTGAAGGCAAGATGACACCTGCCCACCTGCGCCGGAGTCATACCCAATTTGTCGACAAGATCCGCTGTGACAACTGCCTCGAGGATATCTCAGAGCGATGTGAACATTGCAGCGTCCTAATGCACTGTGTCGGGTGCCGCAAAACACTCTGTGCAAGCTGTGCCCACGAACGGCCGTATCTTCACAGAAGCACAACATCTTCTTCGTCTGAAAAAACCCAGAATGCACCGGATTCCTTCTGGTGGGCACCTGGGGCTACACACTCTCCGGGCTCAATGCAGGATCCTGTGGATATTCTGGCAGATCCCCATCAACCCCAGGGTACAGGGATGGACCCACCGCCTATACTCAATTTCCATTGGTGCTGCACCAAGCCTGACCTCTCTGGGGGAGGCGGGATTAGCATCGGACCTCGCAATGGTGAGGTGGACCAGGTACGAGCCGTGCCTTTGCCTCGTGGCCAAGGTTGGGAGGACCTAGAGTACACCGTTAGTGAATGGAGCAAAACATTCCCCAAGTATGCATATGGGGATCCGAGCAAGCCGGACTACTCGCTTGAAACGGGTCATCTGGCGATGATGAAGTGGCTGCTAGGACCACCCAACCGGGAAGTTTCACCGTGTCCGCGTAACTTGTGTCAAGGATGTTACGATTCACCACAGTGGAAGGTGCACTGCAAGAGCTGCTCCAAGCCTCTCTGCATTGAGCATGACCTCCGCGGGCTTCGCTTAAGGATATGCGGTTACCGGGACCTTGAGACGGAAAAGCAAACCATTCAAAATCGATTCGCTGCAAATCTTTCGGGGTCCCTCATCTCTAGTCAAATTCCCGAATACGACCTACTATTCAGAAGTCAACAGCTTCTTGACTCGACAAACAAAAGCTTCATTGACGATTCACGTCAAGATAGCATGGACGAGGAAAATACACCCGAATCACATGTTGGTGATCAGTCGGGTCCTGTTTCCTTCTTCCCCAACCAACCATCTCGCTCATTTTCGGCGCCTGCGTCCGACCATTCTTCCCCTCCCTCATCCTCATCCTCCACCTTCTTTGATTCGCCGACATTCGAATCCCCAAGATGGCAAGGTTGCCAATCCTTCTTCTGCCCGCCGGCCGACCCTATCACCGGAATCAGGGATGTCAGAGGCGGTATCAGGGATCCACGTCCCAGGTGCCCCAGCTATCTGCGAGAATGCAAAGGGTGCAAGGTGTATGTATGCGCGGACTGCATATATACCCACCCACCCTGCAAATGCTCGTATTGCGAGGAAAACTACTTGTGTCCCAATTGCATGATGGACCGCCCTCGTGACAGCCTGTGCCGCCGTCGCCATGAGGAAAGGGCGCAGCGTGACCGCAAATGGAAAAAGGAAATGCAGGTGCTCGAAGGCATCCTGGAGCTCAAAGTGGCTAATGAGCAGGCTGAATTTGCAGGCGAGTTCTTTGACCTCGTCGAGCCGCGCAATAGTCTGCCTTCGGGGACTACGGTCCCCTTTGATGACGGGATCGCCGACCTTTCCGAAGGTGACATTGCAGCAGCGGAAACATCCGCCTCGCACTTCGAGCCTGATGACCTTGACTGGTTCCTCCAAGACTCTCATTAGTCCGAGGCGCTGCTCACCGTCTCCGTTTCGGACTTTCGGACTTTTGTGATTATCAAGGTCTTTCAAGTTCGTTTTTTGGTTCTTTTTTTTTCAGTTTCTTCAGCGATCTCATATCCTGGCGTCATAGGGGAATCTATCTATTCTTATGAATTATTTTCGAAGCAATCTACCCCAGCGGGATCAATATCATGATGTTCTAACTCGGCGTTGTAACTTGCGAAATGGATTGGCGCATTGTCCCACACCTTTCTGCTTCTGTCATCCGACCCCTCCTCTTCAAACCGGGCTGAGGCTGCATATGAGGGCATGGGTTACACCATTTACCCGGCGCTTCCTCGGGAAGGGCTTACTGCGTTGACGACATAACTGGCCAATGGATGCAGGCACCAGCGCCAGAATTTACGATTTATTCTTTTTATTTTCATTTCTTTGTCCGGACTGGATGGTCTGACGGGTAATTGTAGAGGAATGTGCACTCTGGTTGACCATGTAGGGGCATATCTCAAAGAATCAGGTATTATCTTACCACTTGCTCTTCTACTTAGCTCTTCATCCTTGTAGCCTTACACTGATGATTGTACCTCCCTTGGCTGGTCCAAGGTTGTATGAACAACAGCGCCACACCCACCTGGGCAGCCCGGACAAACCATGATAGCCAGTAATAATGCACCACAGGCGTTGGAACAATACTTACTCCGTGCAGATAACGGACTAGTATAATCTAAGCGCATTAAATTATCGTCATCCGTCAGCTGGTGGAGGGGGAACCTTGGAAGAACAAGCATAGCCCCCGATCAAATGAGAAACCCCCACGATCAGATACCCGAACCTAGCGCCCGAAGAACATCCCAATTGCGGTTTCATCATCTGACATAACCTTGACAAAAGCACCAAAAGCACCATAGGGTCTCAGAACGTGTCGGGCCGTACTCGGTAGATGGATAGAGGGATGCGGTCAAGGACAACGGCCATGACACAGCGCTAGCGTATGCAAAACCACGTGGAGTCTCGAGATGCAATGTCTACGGCTCTGCACGTTCCGGGGCTCTTATCGGCGGTGTATAAGTTGTACGCTGTTTGGGCCAATAGGGCGTTGAAGTACTCCGTACTCCCGGTAGTGTTGGGCGCTACTTTGTACATACTACGTAGTATGAGATGGTTCCAAGCGGTCCGTGTGGTTCAGCCAGCCCTCCAGGGCTGGAGGTGTTGGGCGCCTAAACCTATATATGGCTTTCCGGGATGTGTTTCTGTTCCCTGTTCTACTCTGTAGAGACACGTAGACTGGAAATACTGGATCCCATAGTGGAGTATGCTGTATATCCATAGGATCCTAATAGATCGCAGTGCAAAGTATCAACTCGGGTGGATCGGACGATCACTGGGAACAATCCAGTACTACCCGCTTCCCCGGTGCCCCTTTTTCTTTTTTTTTTTTTTGTCTTTTTGTTTTCTTTTTTTTATATCCTAATTCTTATTTCATATGATACGTATCGACCATTTTCACCCCTTAAAAGCGTCCTAAGATATCCGATCGGCTGGCGCGGATGTCGTTCCCCAGTCCCCGATTGGGTGCGGGACAACTTCGGTACGCTGGAAGCCATCCTATTAGTTCTGGAGACAACCTTGGAAGGCATATTTGGAATGATAGTGGCAAGTATGGAGTACAGAATGTACTTTGTAGGGATTAAGTACCATACGCTAGGTCCCGTTATGACCTGACATCATAGTCCACAAGTCAATTAGATACATATGTACTTTTCTCAAGGGGTAAAAAAATATTAAAAAAAGGAGCGTTAAATCTCACGAACCCGTCACAAACGATTTCACCAATAAGATACGTTAGATATTTGCTATTCCCCAAGGCTAAGCGGTCCGATGTCCCGTTTTCAATTTAGGCCCCAAAAGAGAAGATGTCGGTGAACGCGTTCCTTGACCTTTTAGACGCGTGACCGGTCTATTTCCGAAGCAAACATTATTTGACAGGGATTTTAGGGGCTTTTTGGGGCTTTGGGGATTTTTATTTTTATTTTTTTTAAGAAATAAGAACAGGGTTTCTAATTTCTTTCTAATTTCTAGAAATTTAATTAAAATTTTTATTAGTTGTGTCGTTTATATAAAGCCTTTGCTGTCGCACGTCTATTTGACTTTAATCAACTCCCGACTTCAACTATTTTGAGCCCCTGAGAACTATATCCATTCATTCTCGGACTTTCTACCTTCATATTCACCATGGACAAACTCAAGACACCCAAGGAGGAACCCCAAGAGAAGACAGAGTCCCAGCCCACGACTGTTGAAGAGTATCAAAAGAAATGGGACCAGATGCTCCAAGATACCGCAAAGCAGATCGACAAGATTCGAGGTGAGTTCTCTTTCTGACATATGCAGAAGAGAGAACTGACAGCTATCATAGAAAATGAGCTAGCGAGAAGGTCAAATAACAATCAAACCGAACAGCGTTGATCAATACCACTTTATTGTTGAAACCGTCTATGCAAGCCGTGGGGTTTATTGGAAACCGAGCTTCTGGTATTTTGCTTTTTCTTTCTTTTTTTTTTTTTTCTCTACGGATGATGAGAGCATTGGGGATAGGATCAGAGGGTGTTTTTTTTTTTTGGGAGTACACATTATACCTGGAAGCTTCAGTCATTCGCTTTTTGTTACAAGGCAACATTGCATGAGAATACTACAATTTCCTTATATCCGTCTACCTAAGAGACGCTGTATGGGATGTAAAAAAAAAGGAAAGAGAGAGCCTCAAGTGGGGGGAGGGAACTTACCTTCTATGATTTATTGGTTTATTGGATATCCTGCATTGCCAACTGCATTGGCAACTGCATTGCCAATCATTCTCAGAGTCCCCTTTTCAGCCTATGCACGTCATGGCCGCTAACGACCCAGTTGTTCAACCATCCTTGTAGGTTGCCCCGAAACGGTAGCAGACATCCATGGATATCCTAACAATCCTAGACCACTCGAGGTTGTCGCTCACAATGCCACCGTCATCCTAAGCGGTGTGCTTCTAGGCGCACTGCTTGCGTTTGTTACTTTTCACCTGGGCTGGCTGCGCCACCATGTCCGTCTGAACGACCGGTTGGTCAACGCAATCTTCCCACTGGGGTCGCAAGTCTTTTTCTTTACATTACCGCTGTGGTTTGTTGTGATGTTACCTCCTGCTGTGCGCTTTACCGGTATGCATATCACAGTGGTGTTGAGGTAACTGGTCTGACCTTATCAGTGTTCGTAGGGGAATACGCTACTGCACTTTATCTGTCATTGATGTCTTATTTATTCCCTCCGGACAATGCCATTCTCGAGAGCACTATCAAAATAGCGGCTCAAATGACCAAGACTCCCACTTGAGATGTTGGATACAGCAAGGAAGTTGAACTTTGCAATTGTCGACACTTGACACCTACTGTACTCCTGTTTCAGATTATGCAGTCAAATGGACCTCAAAGAGGCATACCGAGTACAAGTGCATTGTAGAGATATCGCGGTGTAGAAGTCAGGCGATTAGGGCTGGCGGCAAAAGCGCCAACGGCAGAAAAAGCCAAGGTCTCCACATCTTTCCTTTTTGGGCTTTTGCTTGGGCTCCATCTTCACCTGGGAAACTAATTATTACTCCGTATACCTACACCGTTACACCGTCTACTCAAATACAACCCCCTTACTCTATCCTTTCTTTTTCCGACCTGCCATCATGTCTGCCGATCTCGACCAAAACCCCTCCCCAGCCGACCTAGCCGAACGCGAACGCGAGAACAAGGAACGCAAAGCCCTCGAGGATGCGGAACAGGCTCAGCTCCCCTACAAGTGGACACAGACTATTCGTGACGTGGACGTGACAGCGCCGATCCCTGGTAATCTCAAGGGCCGCGACTTGGATGTGGTGTTGACCAAGAACAAAATCCGTGTCGCGATCAAGGGACAAGAACCCCTCATCGAGGTATGTCCACTGTCCCCACCCCGGAGAATTACACCGTACACTCTAAATCAACACATCAACTCAAAAACAGCCAGCTAACTACCCCATTTTCCTATCCAGGGCGACTTCCCCCACACCATCCTCGTCGACGAATCCTCCTGGACCCTCGAGACTACCCCCACCCCGCCCGGAAAGGAAATCAACATCCACCTCGATAAGGTCAACAAGGTCGAATGGTGGCCTCATGTTGTTACCACAGCTCCCAAAATCGATGTCACCAAGATTACGCCCGAGAACTCCAGCCTAGGCGATCTAGATGGCCAGACTCGCGCCATGGTCGAGAAGATGATGTATGATCAGCGGCAGAAGGAGATGGGTGGTCCCAGTAGTGACGAGCAACGGAAGATGGATTTGTTGAAGAAGTTCCAGGCTGAGCATCCCGGTAAGTTGTTATTATCCTCTTTTATCTCTTGCTGGTCACTTCACCAATCCGTCCCTGGAGACGAGTGCATTCTTTCCGTTTTAATATGTTGCTAATGTGCGGCCTTGCAGAGATGGATTTCTCTAATGCGAAGATGGGTTAAACCCACTATTAGCATTCAACGATACCTAACCCTTCGTTCTTTATGCAAAAAAAATATCAATGTATGAAGTATGAGTTATGCGCATGGGTGGATAATCTTCGATGAATGATGAATTGCATGGCGTTTCTCGAATCTAATTTCCAAGACTTGGTATGGGTCTCTGGTTTATATATTCCTAGAAGTAGATGTCTTTTATTTAGTTTCTTTTGGTCAAGTTCTCATTGTTTCTCTGGTCCTTCTGCCAAATACGAGAATTACCTTATCGGGGATAGCGCCCGTTCTAAGTTCATCTTCCCTTTCGCCTCCCCGTCGCCACATGGATTCTCACTCTATTTGGGCACAGTGATCAGGCTGATTAGAGCAAGGCGCAGTTCCACATACTTGAGCCTCCACATATTGCCTTGCGCCCAGTCTGGGATCTCAGCCGCAGAACTATATCGCAACCCACATTTCGATGCCTTGAGACGCCCGAGGCCAGCTTGTTCGTATAATCTTCAGCGTACATTTGATTTAATAGACCATCGCCAAATATTCCCCTGGGTCAAACTTATACTCCGAGAAACAATGGTCGATATGCAACCTAAAACCCAAACCCGGCCACATTCGTCTAGGCACGTGCAGGGACAGAATATGGTCTTTCGAATCCCGAACTACAAAAAGGATTCTCTAGCATGCGGGTCCGAACCGTCTGAACAGATCTATCATTCCCGCCGGTCTCATCGGAAATCCCGCGCCGGCTGTGTGAACTGTAAGCAACGAAGAGTCAAGGTACTTCCGGCACCCCCATTATCAACCATCGGCTGTTAATGATCGATCTCAAGTGCGACGAAGCAAAACCCCATTGTCTCCGATGCCAAAAACATGGCATTGAGTGTGACTACCCGAGCCAGCCAGCCCAACCTCAAAAGAACAATAACATCGTTTCCCAATTCAGCAAAACCAACCCTGACTTGATATCGATTGATTCTCTAGCTCCTTCAATGTCTCTAATGATGGTCGCGGACAAGCTGAATGAATTACTGCAACCAACACCCGATACTGGTATCCAGCTGCCGAGATTACTCACAGATGCCACAGCATCAACCCGCACTATGGAAGCATTGCATCATTTCCACAAAGCCCCAGCCTTTGGAACAGAAAGCCCAACGCCTATTCGAATCGTAATGGGCAAAATGGTCGAACTTGCCTTCGAAGTAAGCCCATCCATACATAGTTTACATATCTAAACCCCCTCCCCTATATCCATGGATCCGCCATAGCCATACCCCAACAAAACACAGCCCTATAACCTACCTAATACAACTTCAAACTAACCCCCAAACCAACCCCAGACCCCCTTCCTCATGCACGCCATAATAGCATCCGCAACAACCCACCTCTGCATCGTACTCCCAGACAACAAAGCCTACCGCCTATCAGAAGCCTACCACTGGCAACAAACAATAAACCAATACTCGACCGAAGTCTCCAAAGCCATAACCCGCACCAACATGGACAAGCTCTACTCCACCTGTCTAATGATCAGCATGCACTCCTTCAACCAAGAAACCTTTAACCCGCGCGCCTCCTTCGTCTTCACAACGGACCCAACAGCCCTAACGTGGCTCCGACTGCAGACCGGGCTCCGCTACCTCCTCGAGCGCACGGGGACCTGGCTCCCGCAGAGCATGTGGTGGACTGTATTCATGGAGGCGCGGGATCCATCCCTGGACTTTGAAGATAAGCGTCCTGGCCGCGTGGGTCTTGATCCGGATTTGGCAGATCTTTGTGGGATTGCGGATGAGACGACTGTCGAGGAGAATCCGTGTTTGTGGCCTTTGCGCATGCTTATGGGATTGTTGCCGTTTGAGAGGGTGACGGAAAGTTCTAGGGTTTATAATACTTGGATGGGAAGACTGGAGAATCCGTTCTATGAGTGTTTGCTTAGGAAGGAGCCGCCGGCGCTGGTTTTGTTGGCTTGGTGGTTGGGGCTTATGTGTTATGTTGAGGAGTGGTGGGTTGAGACGAGGGTTCGATCGGAATGTACGGCTATCTGTATGTTTCTGGAGGATAGTTGTGATCCGCTGGTTTTGAAGTTGTTGGAGTTTCCGGCGTCGTGTTGTGGGTATTTGCTTAGACATGAGCAGGAACAGGCTAGGGTTCTTGAGTTGGATTGATGTCTTTGGGTGATGTTGGTTTGAATCTTAGATTTGTTGTATTGATACCCTTTTTTTTGGTTGGTTGCCTACATATGTATCTAGGTGTGTTTTGTCGAGTGTCAGTCAAAGGTTATACATAGAAAAGCCCATTTCATGCCGTCTACCTAACAAACTAAGAAGGGGAAGAAAATATCTACAATAACTGATATCTAAAAAGACTACCTGAGGAGACATCTAAAAAGACATCTAAAAAGACGATCTGAGGACTACCATAAAAGACTACCATAAAAGATTACCAAAGATATTTGACAAGGCCGCATAAGCGGCCGACTATTCTTGTAGCGATAAAGCTAGATCTGGGGCATTTGATTTGACAAAATGTCTATAATGTATTCGGTTTATCGTAATTGCTACACTATTTATGCCTGCCAGTGTAAGTGAGTACCAAGGTAACCGATTATCTCGACAGAGTGTCCTCCTGGATCCATGACAGGCGAGTATGTGCAGGTCAATATAAGTATCCAAAGCTATCCCAGAATAAATCCAATCCCTTTTCGCACCAAGTCCCAGTCATATCATAAACATTCGATCAGTATCCATAAATGATGTCGTCGCGTCATGTGCAATAAAACAGCACCAAAAGAAAATGATAGCAGAAAGGAGAGCAATGCAGCAGTCATGCAAAAAGGAAAGTAAATCCACAATGGACGATTCCAGATCTGCCCAGACCAAAAGATCGATGTGGAAAAATATTAAACAGGCAGCTAATAAGCAAAGGGTAGAAAGGAAGCGTTCTTTCCGCAAGTATTAAACGAGACTGTATCACTGGCTCTCCCAAGAGACCCGTCGATGACGACGAATGGACCGGTCATCCTCAGAGTATGTAGGTCCAGTCCGCGAGCCGTTCATGCGGGCAGCGGGTGGTGGATTAATGATGACCGCCATAGCGGACGAGATGGACATAGACCGCGAGCGACGACCCAGCATTACAGACTGACGGGGAGAATATGGCGGTGGTGGAGTCTCCCTCGTTGCGGTGGAGGTATTGCCGTAGCTGCTGGGAAAGGAAATGGCCGATGAACTATCGGAGGTGACATCTTCGTCGTAACGATTGGAGTTTTTTTCGTCATGGGGGTAAGAGTTCTGGGACTCGGAGGAAATAGGTGGGTCACGCATATGGGCTTCTAGAGTCTTCTCATGGAGGCTCATTGGACGGGCTGTGTACTGCGGGAGAGGGACCACGCTGGAATAGCCCCCATCCTCGGAGTCAGAGGGCGGGGGTCCGTGCCCACGGCCCCCGGTTGGCGGTGCTGAGCGGATAAATGCGCCTTCCCCGGAGAGTGTAAAGTGTCCTGTCTGGATGCCGTTGGGGTTGGGTCTTTGGGTCATCATCTCCGGGGAAGAATGGGACTGCGAGGGCTTCACGTCTTGGGCGAAGCACCCGCAGAGTGACGAGAAGAAAGACATGACTCAATGGGGGGCCTGTTTTCTAATTGATAGTGTGAAAGCCAAGGGTGATTTGACTAAAGCAAAAGGAAGTTGGTCCGTGAGATCTGTAATAAGAAACAGCTCTGCACAAGAACTATCGTATGAGCAGTTCGACTGTTGAGCCTCAAACGCCGATAGCGGGCTGAACCCCACTTGCGTCGATAAGCCCCAGACCTGAACCGGACAAACAGGGAGAATAAGAATCAAATATGAATCCAGAAAGGCATGCTCATAAGAGAAAGGAAAAAAGAAAATGAGGGGCGAAAGAAAGGCCAGATGGGAAGATGACCCAGACGAGGCACCCGCAGGCATCCAGATTCCTAGAAACTCCCGACCTCGGGAGGTCTGATTGGCTCCCGATAAGATAGTATTGATGCCTGAGGCACCACAGTTGGAAGCACTTCTAGGGATGTCTGCTTCAATGAATGTAGCGCTGGCTCATAATGCAAGAAAAGACGGATAGTTCACACCAAAAGCACTAAACTGGAATATTGCAAGTCTAACAATGTCAGGTTTCAATGGGTTTCGCCTGCTAGCATCGTGATGAACGGCGTGATATGCAAGCTCCAAATACTTCCGAGACATCATTGAGCGTCCATTGGCTTTGGGCTAATCTTGCCCCGGGAGAAGCCAAAACAAGCGAGGCTCACTGTAGGCCATTAGGAGTTGACAAAGAAGTATAAAATCAAGAAGGATATCTGCCCAGGTGTTTGATGAGTCTCATTCATCCATGGATGGCATTCACGTGCATTAGCCCAAGTGGCAGGCATCGCAGCTCGTTGAACAATTGGGCCAGTATCCATAATTAGAATTTGAACGAGCTCCCAGGATATATGAGACGGATCTTCTTATTGATCTTCCAGTAAAGCATCTTATAGTCGTTGTAAGTGTCCACCAGCACAGGTCAAAAGACCGATAAGCGATAGGCGATAAGATCCGGCGTACCAAAAGATAAATGAGGCGGTGGACAGATGGAGAGCTCATGATTGGCTAAAAGGCTAAGTGGGCCGAGGGGTAAGAAAATATGTGGGCAAAATAAAGTCATGTGATTAAGGCAGCCCACCAATCGCGTCGCCGCCTGTATTTTTTTTATTCTCCCCGCCTTCTCCTCGACGATCACTTACTTGAGTGAGAATATTTTCTTTCCACACCTAATTCCAAATCTTGAGTCAATCAGAACTATAAAGTTCATCCAAAACCATGACCGTCGATCCCAGTATCCAGGAAGTGACACAGAATGTCGAGCCTCCTCAGGTCGCCCCCAATCGTTCCCACGATCCCACAAACAATCTGAAACGGACCGACCCCTTCCAATTCGGCTCGCGATACCTTGAAAAAGGCGACGATGTTTTTGAGTTCAATGCTTGGGACCACGTGGAGCCAGATGATGAGTTTAAGGCCTTCGCTGAGACCCAATATGCCAGACAGCGCGAAACACGCGTGTCGGACTTTGATCGCAACCGATTCAACACCAACCCCGCCAAGTGGTGGGACATTTTCTATAAGAACAACACAGCCAACTTCTTCAAGGATCGAAAGTGGCTGCGCCAAGAATTCCCCATTCTCGCTGAAGTGACACAGAAGGACGCCGGTCCCCAGGTCGTCCTGGAGGTTGGCGCGGGAGCCGGAAACACCGCCTTCCCATTGCTGGCCAACAACGAGAATGAGCATCTGAAGGTCCATGCCTGTGATTTTTCCAAGTATGCCGTGAAGGTCATGCGCGAGAGCGAGCTCTACAACGAGAAATACATGTCCGCTGATGTCTGGGACGCAGCTGCTGTTCCTGACGAGAACAGCGACGCTCTTCCGCCCGGTCTGACCGAAGGCTCAGTCGATGTTGTGATTCTAATCTTCATCTTCTCTGCCCTGGCCCCTAACCAATGGGACCAAGCAATCCGCAATATCTACCGTCTTTTGAAGCCCGGTGGCCGTGTGTTGTTCCGCGACTACGGCCGTGGTGACCTCGCCCAAGTGCGATTCAAGAAGGGTCGATACATGACTGAGAATTTCTACATTCGAGGTGACGGCACACGTGTTTACTTCTTCGAACAGGAACAACTCGTTGACATGTGGGGTACCTGGAGCGCAGAAAACGGCTTGCAGATCCCCATTGGTGATGAGAACCCCACCGAAGAAGCGTCCGAGAAAAAGACAGATGAACCATCTGCAGAGGCCAAACAACTGGCAAAGGACAGTGGAGCGTTTGAGGTCCTTAACATGGGAGCCGATCGGCGACTGATTGTCAACCGTGGAACCAAACAAAAGATGTACCGTTGCTGGATGCAGGGCAACTTCCTGAAGCGCGGTGGAGCGGAGGCTGAAACTGCCACTGGGAACACCCAATAAACTCCTGGATCACCACTTCTGCAATGGTCATTCGGATGGCCGTAAACATTCACCAAAGTTTCAGCCAAAGACGGGAATTTTCTTGTCTACGAACCCGTACGGTTGTGATGGTTTTTCCGACCGCCCAACCGCGATCTCGCGATTTTCGCCGTGCGTGGACCCAACGCCGTGTTTCCAGGTGTGTCTCAATACTCATCACACCGAGATCAACATACCATGCCGTTGGGGCATTTCCAGTGGAAAAGCTGAGGCAGCACCATCAAAGTCACGAGGGAATGGCTTAGATTGCTGTTGATATAGGGCAATGCCTTCATGATGGCGTTACGAATGTACGACACACACATTAGATCATGTCATTTAATTTGCAAATAGAGTCAAGGAATGCCTACCACATAGAGAAAAGATGTTGATGCAGAATGTCAACTCTACCTATTCATATAAACGATATACAAAGACGATGTGAGGTATATAATTCAGAAGGACAACCTTGGAACTAAGCATATTGATGACCCAGCTGATGTTAGAGAATAATATACGAAAGGGAAACATGGAATATGTAGAAACCATAGTCTTTGTTTGTTTTAGCCAATATAAACAACGGCAGTCTACAAGATGTAGATTCCTAAGTACAGCAAGAGTCTCAAAAGCACATGCAGAACAACCAAAATATTTGTGCACACCCTGAATCTAAGATTGAATGGTGTCAATAGGGGAAAAAGAGAGACACCGGAGTTTATGTACAAGCCAATGCTCTAAGAATCGAAGAAGACATAGAAAATCAAGACGAACTCCATCCATGCAGGGAAAATGGGCATCAACGGCGAGACAGAGCTCCCGTAGAAAGAGATAGAAAGTTTCATTGCAAGGGACCATAGCAAGTCGTGGCCCGCAGGAAGCTGCGAGCCTAAACGTCTAATCGCTGTATGTTGAAAAGCGAAACCATGTAACATATGAGATTTGTCCATGAGCGAAAAGCAAAGAGCAATCGTCAATGCAGAGAGACTTGTAGGAGTATGTTGGGAGGTATTTTCATATCTTCATATTCGGACACTCGCCCTGGGCTCGTTGGAAGGCTCCTGCAAACAAGTCCTGCATGGCGTGGTAGTGGAATAAGATACCGCCCAGGACAGCCAAGTGCCAGATATTGTGACTGCCACCGACGTAATCGAAAAGACCTGGCTTCCAGCGCTCGGGAATCTTGGAGGCGTAAATAAGGGCACCAAAGAAATACACCATGATACTCTTCACGACTGGTGCATAGAAATACATGGTCCATGAGAAGCCACGTGTATAAGTGAGCTGAGCTATGGGCGAGAAGCCAGTGAGTGCAAGGGTCACGTAGAAGCCCACGCGGGCCCAGGCCATATCGTGGCGGTTGAAGGTTGGGTGCCACGGTAGAATGATACCACCGATGCCCAGTGACATGGTAAGCAGAATGTATGTCCACCGGGAAAAGGGCTCGCAATAGAAAGCAGTGTATTCGGTCGTCACAATCGAGGCAGCGACCAGCATAGAGATTCCAGTGTAGTCCACACAAGCGAATCGTTCCATCAATGACTGCGAAGCAATGCTGTTCATAGTATGCCAAATAGTGCTGCAGACTAGACATTTGCATGCAGCAAAGAAGAAAACGGCAGCGATTGTGACGTCAGACTTGGAGCTCAGGTGGAAATTGGTGTGAAGCGGGTAGAAGTAAAAGGCGATGGCTAGGACGATGACGAGGCCAATCATATGGGACCATATGTTGAACATTTCATTCGAATAAGCGAAGACCGACGAGACACATTCCAACTTGGAAGTGGTGAATCGGTAGCCATTGATGATGTGCGGGTTGACGCGCCATGGATGAGGCAGTTCATCGTAGTTAATCAATCGCTTCTCTTGCGCTAGTCGGATAGCTTCTTCGACAGTATCTCGCAGAGTATCACGAGTTCGGCGGGCACGTTCCATACCCTCGTCAACGATTTCCCGGGCATGAACCAACCCCGAGTCCATCGCTTTCCACCCGTCATCGATGGTGCCGTAGATGCCGCGATCGCGAACCGCATGCACTTTATTCTCCAGTTCGACCAAGAACGACTCCATTAACCGCACACCGGCTTGCGCCTTTTGCTCCAAAGTCTCCTTGGTCACCAGGGCTTCATTGTATCGACCCTCGAGGGTTTCGACCAGAATCTTAGCCCGCTTTTTGCCACTTCCCATCAACTCTCCCGAGGCGAGGGAGCATTGATCTCTCACGGCTTCCAGTGTAGCATAGCCTCGTTTCAAACTGGCATCGACCTGTACCATGTGCGATTTCCGGTATTGCTCGATCCATTGCATTCGACGTTCCAGTTCGGACAAGAAGAGTTCGACCTAGAACTTTGATTAGACACATTGTTACCCGGAGATATTTCCCACCAATAATGCATGTACATACCCTGATAAAGACTGCATCTGCATCTTGATAGTCGCACGAGAGTTTTCTAGAAGCGTGGAACGAATGTCGGCGCCGATCACGGAGCATACCGGTATTCTCGTCGGGGGTCGGAGTAGCAGAGGCAAATGCCTCTGCTTCGGGATAAGACTCCACTGCCATTGAAGAAGTGCCGCAAGCCATGGGGTGTAGTTGATAGTTCGTCCGTCCAGCCTCAATCGAACGCCATACGGGGAATGGGCGATAAGCGTGGAGAGGCAAGGGTATCGGAGAAGTACCGGGAGGCGGAGAAGAACTCAGACAAAGCCTTGAGGTGAAACGAGCTTTAAACAAGAAATGAGGGGCACATAGAGGAACTAAAAAGTACCAAAAAAAAAGGAGGGGAATGGGGAATGTATAAGGTAAGACGGTAAAATGAGAGTGGCGCTTGGGGGAAAAAAGGGCCAACCTTGGAAGACCCCAACCACACAAAATCCCCGGGGCACATTGCGGCCCCGTACATCCTGATTGATCCATCCCGCCTCAACCTCTTTTCTTTTCCGCTTTAGATCTCTCGCCACCTTATTCATCGGATCTTTAGATCTTCACACAACATGGCTATCAGTGAAATTGTCGCCGATGAGTCCCTCTTACCAGTGCTTCAGACTAGCGCTGAGACTCTGGTCCAGTGTCAGCACCTTCTCACCATACTAAACCCCGAAACCCTGCCCAATGATGGCGCCAAGCTCCAAGAATTATCCTTAGCTGCATCCAAACAACAGAAACTTCTATTCGCACTGTTGGCCCAACTTCGCGGGCAGAATCGGGATGCCATCTTTCGCGTGCGCGACACCAAGCACTCAACTGCAGAGGCTCGACAAGAAATCGATCGGCTGCATCTTCAGCTCCAGAACTTGTACTATGAACAGAAGCATCTGACAGGCGAAATTGCGGCTTGCGAGGCCTATGAGTACGTGGACCTGATTTCCTACTCATAGCACTCTCATTTCCCCTTGGCGAAGAACTAACATATTCGCTGTAATAGTCACAAATACCTATCCCTCCCTTTGATCCCGGTCGGAGAATTTTTGGAGCTTCATCCCGAACATCGCGAATCCAGCGAACATGACCTCATGATCGCCCGTATCGAACACGAACATGTTGAACGAGAGAAGCTGGAGCAAGCGCGGCAAGAGCTATTGAAGCGCAAGCAGGGCTTGATCGCAGAGAACAAGAAAAGGAAGAATGACCTTGCCAACCTCGACCAAGATCTCGAAAAGTTCATTGACGTATGTTCTTACGCTTGTCCAAGTCTGCTATTGATGAGTTTGCTAATAAGATTCATGACATTTAGGCTGCTAAGCCGATTCAAAAGATCTTCGAGAAGGAATATTAGACATTGCATGTGGAAGTACAGCAGTGGAGGCCTGGCCTTTTTGCTGCTACATCGGATCGGCGTTACTGGTCATATACCCTTGTTTTTTTGTGATTTCAGAGTATTTCGAGTCGATAATGACATCCTGAGCCCATTTGGGACTATTTCTGCTTCTGGTCTCTCTTTCAAAAAGGTTAGATTGGATGCGAGTCCGGAGCTTCGAGCCGTAGAGTATAAAGATAGCACTAAATCAATTAAATAAGAGATCATGAAACTACAAGTTTAGATCAAAGAAATGTATCCGTCCAATGCCGTGTACGGCGTATAGATAACTGTGTTGCTCCGTGCGGCCTAGGTGGTCCCTGGCTTCTCCGCCCGGCTATCAACTTCCCCAAGTCAACAATCGACTTGATAAACACTTGCTCCTTTGTTGCTCTGATTTAGAGCACAAAGCATGTCCCGACCATGACGACCAAAACAGGAGACCAGGAGTCTCCTCAGGCTTCGGCCTCTCAAGTCGACCAACCCAGCGTCAAGCGCGCTCCACCCCCAGAAACCCCGGCCGCCCTCCAAACGCGATTTCGAGTGATAGCAGCCTTTTGGGCCGTAATTATATTCCTTGGATTCCCGATATGGTGGAAAACAACATCGATCTACCGGGCGTCTCTCCCAATCGAGGAGATGGTGGATTGGGCTGATAGCAAGGTAGGGCTTGCGACATCGCCTTTGGATTTGGGGACTTGATAGATGCTAATAATGGTCTTGACAGGCGTGCCGGCCAGTCTTCCCTTTGGAAATTCACCTTGCGACACCTTCGCTGCAATCTTTCGAGGCCCAGCACCTCCTCCGCACCACGCAGCATACCCTCGATGATCTCAACGAGTTCGCAGCTCATCACCTTCGGCTTAAGTTGACCAACGGCAGCACGGCAGCAGGTCATAACGGCAAAGACAGCCCGGAAAGTGTCAAATATCCTGCAGAGGAGACAGCGGATATTGCATTGACTGTCCGATTACTGCCCCAGGATGGCCTAGCAGGTCCTTGGTCAGAGCTCCATGCAGCGACGACACAGCTCGATATCTTCTACCCGCCGAGCCAGGTCCCTGTACCTTCCTCCTCCAATTCCCCCTCTCCACTTTCATTGCGGCGGAGCTTCAGCGATTGTATAGTGAGGAGAAGGCTACTATAGCGCACATCTTGTCTGGAAATACTGCTGGGCTTGATTCGACCTCACCACAACTCGCCGAAGAGATCGACCGAAGACTGCGCCGATCGATGAAATATGCTGAAACCTACCACCTCTCCTTCTCACTGTTTACCCCCAGATCTGAACCTTCCTCGTGGGACATTGAGGCTGCGGTGCACGAATATGTCTCCCCGCTCCTGCAGGCCTTGTCTCCTATCAGCAATTTCACTGTCGACACCCAAGTACAGCTCTATGCGAACTTTGCACCCACTGCGCCAAAGCCTGAGTATGATGAGTCCGAGGCGGCATGGACATTGAAGAAAGAAGATCTAAGTGCCTTCGTCAATGCTGCCGAGTGGCCGCTGAACCCCAGCATCGGCAGTGGCCCGACGATCAATTTCATCCTCTATGTCCCAGACCCCTCGCAGTCTCCACTCATTATCAAGGAGAACCATGCTTCTAGTTGGATGATCCCCCAATGGGGCGGAGTGTTCCTCCTTAACCCGCCGCTTTCCCATACCGATAACCAGGGTGGCCCGTCCAATCCTGCCCATCTTTCCCAGGACTCTTTAGGTCCTGCATTCATGACCTTCTCTCATCAACTCCTCACCCTCCTCGGTACTCCAAGCACCCCCGCCTGCCTCCCACTCCGTCTCCAGACATCTATCCGCATTCGCGCGGCCAGCTTGTTGCTCTCCGCCTCATCAACAATGGGCTCGCTTGCCCGTCTCACTGAGTCTTTACCCTCCATCCCTATCCCGGCAACCGTGGCTACTTCGGTCTCCACCACTCTCTCTCATTTGGGTGCATCCTGTGCTCACTTGCGAGAGGGTCGTTTCGGCGCTGCGCTTGCCAGCGCCCGAGTCGCGGAGACAGAAGCTGAGCGCAGCTTCTTCGAAAAGAGCATGGTGGGTCAGGTATATTTCCCAGATGAGCATAAGGTGGCGGTTTATCTGCCCCTTCTGGGACCAATTGGCGTCCCTCTTCTTGTTGGGTTGCTCAAAGAGCTCAAGAGAATTGCGGCTCGACGCAAGGCGAAGGGGGCAGCATCGTAGAGTAATAAAACCTCTCGATATTCATGTATTCTAGGAGTTATTTATACACCCATTGAAACTATCCTCCCTTCTGAGTATCCATCTATGGGCGTCCTAATTTACTATCTACCCAGATAGATATGACTCCCCTTTCTAGGCATATATCCAGTAGGTTGATCTTGCACATAAAGCAATACACAATATTTGAATTAGGTGGAGAATTAATCAGGTATCTAAACAGGTGAAACCCAACCCTCGAAACAAAGTGAAAACAAAACAAATAACTATGGATATCTTGGTACACGGTCAATATGCCAGAACAACCAAATGTCTAACCCAAGACGACTGAGCGCACAGCTCAGCCTGACCTGACGTACGCTCAGATCCCTCAATTATCAACGCGTAGGATCCCTGAACGGATTTTCCCGAGAATCATCATTAGTCGGATAAGGTGCCTTCGGCTTGCCACCATGAGGCGGCTCAACAACCCGTATCAGGTCGCTAAACAGAGTATCCGGCCTAGCAGCATTACCAGGGTACGGCTCAGGCCCCAGAAAATTCCGAGACTGCGAAAACGACGACTCAGGCGGTGAATACACCTTGATACTCTCCGTACTCGGCTGGCGCTGTCGTGGCGGAGTAAACGGAGCCGGATGCATAGGGTTTGGCATAGGGATAGGCGGCACATCTTTGTCTAGTCGGGGGTTTTGTCTTGGATAACCAGAGAATAGACTCCGCACTCTGCTGCCGGTGCGGTGGATCATGGAGCGTCCTCCTAGAGAAGAGCGCTTGGCTCGCGGTGGGCTTCGGAGGAAGTCTGTGCGGTAGGAGGTATCGTCTTGGGGTATGGGGTTTGAGATGCACAATATTGCGCCGGAAGAAGAGCGTTGGGACCAATTAGGTCCGGTTTTGCCTTCTTGTATCTCATATTCGTCTTTTCGGGCAGGTCGGAAACATAGAGTTATTAAGAGGACGGCGACTGCACCAAAGACCGCACCTGGGAAGAAGCCTGCTGCTATGGCTCCAGCTGGGAAGGAGGGACATGATTTTGATAGTTCTGCGCATGTCGTGGTGTTTGCGGACTTGTCGGATGAGGGAGATGGCACGGGTGTGATGGTTGCCTGGGGGGTTGCTGAGCTTGCAGCCGTTGTCGATGATGATGCTGTGTTGGTAGAGGCGCTGGATGCAGATGATGATGCCGTGTTGGTAGAGGAGCTAGATACAGATGCTGTTGCAGTTGTGGAGGTTTTTTGGTTCAGGGAACAAGTATTGTCCCCTTGACAGGTGTAGCCAAACGGGCAGCACGCATTGCCGCATTTGGGAAGGCTGTCGCCCAGACGGGTTGTCTTGATGACACTCTCGGGGTATACGGTAACATTCTGCTGCTGTATATCACATGTAATCGGCGAGATGTAGTCACAGTCTTGACCAGCGGGACAGCAGATGGAGGAGCTGCCCTGGTCTAGGCTGATGCAGGTGGAGTCTGAAGGACAGCAGAAATCATTTGGGAGTTTCGTGCTGCCGCAGCGAGTGAATGAGGAGGGACACGCATCTGAGCTTCTTGAGAGAAGATCGAAAGAGTTATATGCTTGTCCTGGCCGGATACTGGCCATTAGCGTCAAGAGAAGCAGAACGGATGGCCGTCTGGCAGTTGACCTCGTCATACTGGCGGTACGTGTGTAGGCCGAGAAAGATAGAAGTGTCACTGACGATCAAATCCAAAAGATTTTCGCCGAAAGATGTAGACTGATAGCGCCCTTGACAGTATCTTCACGTATAACGCAAGCCAGGTCGTAAGTAGAAAGACCAACACTGGAGGGAACCTTGACAGAGATAGATTGGAAAGAGCTAACAGACAAAGGCATTGACTTCTGTCTGAAACAAAAATCAGTCAAAGAACCAGGATATGGCATTCTTGAAAGGCACTTGGGCACTGCCATCCTGTAGACAAAGAGTACTTGGAAGCGCCGCAGTCCTAAAATAGCCACCGGGCTGTTTCAGGGTGAGCGGCATGATTAAAATGGCAACAATATGGGCGCTAAATCAAATCTTTGTTACATGACCCCATCGGACCAGGTAATTGCAGAACGAGGATTGGATGAATGCCAAAGGGTGCAGAAGAGTACAAGGCGCTTAGAGATGAAGTAGATTTGGACGATGTTATTGGCTGTTGGGTCAGTGGTCTTACATAACCACACTAGTCCCGATCGGGCAGAACGTCGGGAGGGAAATTCTTCGACATCGAAGCTCTGTACGATTAACCCGACCATTCACAGCGCCGCTCGTCATGTTCAACCGATTCGCCAGGCCGCAAAGCGCTTTGCGCGCAGCCTCCTCTTTCTCCCCAGTGAGACTCACTTCCTCCGTCGCCAATCCGTCTTGACTGACCGCGTTTTGTCCAGAAACCTACCTCCGCCTTCTCACGCTTCCAGACTCGGGCTATCCATCGCATTCCCCAATTGCAGCACGACGCCTTCTATAAGGAGAATGGTGTCCCGGAGTTCCTGTCGCCTGAGGCGTTCGACTTCTCCTGGACCCAATACCAGACTCTCCTCGTTAACAAACTCAATTTGTTGACACAAGGTGAGGCCGACACTCCGACCCTGTGGAACGATACATTGATCCAATTCGGCCCCAATTGGATAATTGAATGATATGGCACATTGGAAGACGAATCTAACATTCGAACTCAATAGATACCGTGGACGCAGATGCCAAACCAGGAGAATTGCTGGTCAAATACTCCAAGCGTCCGGAGATGGCCTCGGTGTTCAACTATGCTTCAATGGCCCACAACAACCACTTTTTCTTCAACTGCCTGGTTAGTAACGACGCTAACCCCTTCATATATGACATTCAATCCTGACTTGCATGCTCAATATAGTCCCCCACAGCCACCACCGTCCCCGAAAAGTTCGCCAAGGACATCGTCGACACCTGTTCCTCCGTCGAGTCCCTGAAGTTGGATTTCCTGGCCACAGCAAGCTCAATGTTCGGCCCCGGATTCGTGTGGCTCGCCAAGAACCTCGAGCGCGAAGGCATGATGCACATCTTCTGCACCTACAGTGCTGGCTCACCCTACCCGGCCGCCCACTCCCGGCGGCAACCCGTCGACATGGCCACCCACACCCCGGAGACCCAGCTGGGCAACCAGTTCGCCGGCTCGATGGGCGCCCACTCCCAGAACCAGAAGAACCTCGCGCCCGGCGCCGTCGATGTGCAGCCCATTCTCTGTGTTAACACCTGGGAGCACGCGTGGATGATGGACTACGGTATTGCCGGCAAGGACGAGTACCTCGAGCGCTGGTGGGATCGGATTAACTGGGATGTGGTTTTCGACAACTACAATGCTGTGGGCTCGATGAAGAACTCGCGCAGCTCCATCAACCGTCATCGGAGTATGAGCATGCTTTAAGTTGAAAATCATTTCTGTGTCTGGATAATCTGTATTATATACTATCATGTTTTATTTTTTTTTGGTCTCCATTGCTCATTGTCACAGGCTTCTGATTGAGCATGTACAGCGATCCATCCAATAGAATCCAATTGGCGATGCTCTCTATTTCCCTTCTGCCGTCTAGATTCGAGATGCAAGTCTAACAAGTAGTCTCATGTAGTTGTCATACATGCAATTTATGCCCAGATACCAAACTCTATTAATATACAACCCAATCTACAAATTGACACTTCTATTGCCCTTTACCCTCAACCTCCCGTATCCGCTTCTCAAAAGCCTCAATCATAACCCCAGCCATCTGCCCCTCAACAGCACTCATAAGAGTAGCATGCATCTGCGAACGAAACTCAAACCGCACCTCCAAATTGACCTTAGTCAACGGCCCACCCTGCGTCCCAGCAGGCGAAACCGGTACCAGCTCCCACTTCGTAACTAGGTACTCGAAGAGGCCCTCATTTGCGCCGGGGAGGAACCCGCTCAGCCCGGACGAAGAAGAGCTCTTACCAGCCTGCCCCTCTTTACCATAGTTGGCCCCGCTCTTAGCCTCCACAGTCAGCTTCTCTACGTCGCAGATCACGCGCGACGTGAACGTCTCGCTGAGCGGGCCGTAGCCAACTGTCAGGAACGCTTGTGTTGGGTACCCTGTTTCCGGATCCCGCGCTGTCACAGTCGAGGCGGTGAGGAAGGGGAGGAATTGGCTGTAGGCTTCGACAGAAGAGATCACTTTGTATAGCAGGGTTGGGTTGTAGGGAAGGTTGCGGGTGGCGGTTAGGACGCGGTGCGGGGAGTTGTTGTTGTTATTGTTGCTGTTGGGGAGGAAGGAGGATAGGTCGGGAAGGCCAAATGCTCGGGTAGTAGTTTTGGTGCCATTGGTTGGGAGTAGATTTCGGTGCAGACTTGGTCGTTGTGTTGTAATTATTGTCCTCGTGCTTGTCTTGAATTGGTGGGACACATGCTGGCGCTGGGAGGGTAGGGTTGCGCGACTTGGAAGTCGCAAGGTGCGGAGGGCTTGCATTGAGAAGGGTGGTATTAAAAAATACAGGTTGGTTCTTCGAGTGTGGTGGTTCCTGGCAGACAAGAAAACCGGTCTGGTTCCGCGGAGCGGGATCGGCAGCCGCCTCGGCAAGATTGCATATATTTAGTGCCCAGGTGCATACTCTGGATTTGGTTAATAGATTTTATACTTCGCTGCCTTTTTTCCCCTTAGATAAATCCATAGCTCTATGATATGTGTGTATTGATAACATGAGTGTTCTTAGGTCTCGTTTATTAATTGATGTGCTTCAACATTGTAAGCGCCTTTGTGCGTAGTATCTCGAGATTTTTAATCAATGATGTACAAGAGAAACAGGTATGTTCATAACATCGAAGATATATATAAAATTCACCATTGTCATTGCTGGTAGCTCTGATGATCCATCGGCGATAACCCAGGAGGATACGCGGCAAAATCGTACGGAGTCGTTGGACCATCGGAGTACCAGTTGTTATTGGTGGCCATTTCGACCCCTGAGATATGACTGTCGTACAGGTTCTAGGAATCAAGGATTAGTTATGGCTGTACTAGTCATCTATAGCTGGAGCTCTTACCCAGTCGAGTTGAGCAGGTATATCAAACATGTCTTCAATGACCCCCAAGGAGTTGTATGACGGCGTCTGGCCGGGGTTGGGTATTGCGGACTGCAATTCGCCAATATTGGATGTGTATGTTTGGTATTGTTGATCAAAGGCTGCTGTACCAGTGGATTGGGTTGAGATATCATCTAGGAACCTTATCAGCGCGATATTGAGAAGAGAAAAGTTATACTTATACTTACTATCCATGAGCGCTGTTGATTGGCCAGCAGTCGAACTGGGATATTTAAAGTCACATTTCTTCACCCGTTTGAGCATGATAGTCAAAGCATTCACTGCTCGCTGTGTATCTACAGACTGGTGACTGGATTCCATGAATATGTGATGGGTAGTTTCCAGAAGAAGCAAGAACTCCGCGCGTTCGTGGGGTTCGAGGCGTGCAGCATCACCACGATCTGTATCCTGGGACATCTCAAGGCAAAGAATCATTGCCGAGAGCAAGAAGGAATTTTGGAGGGAGTTGAGGAAGTACCGCTCTGCGTACAATTGACCGCCGGGCATGAACTCGGTCCAGACCTCTGTGTGGTATCGAAGCGCGTCCCGAGCTGCGGCCAGGCAGACTGATCGCGAGTAAGCAAATTTGGGATTGGTCTCTGCGATATACCGGCGATGTAGCACAAGACGTGCCGTTTGATACAGGAGCTCCAGGGCGAAGCGCCGCATGGTCAATTCTGCTGGGTCTGCGATACACTGCGTCATTGGTCGAATTTGCAAGAAGGAGGGTACCATATCATGTGCAGTCTCCAAGCGACCGTCAATTTCCACGGTCTCATCGTAGGATGAGTGCTCTCGAGAGAATGCTAGGTCTGTTATATGACCAAAAACGCTCATAATGTGAGATTTGGCCCTCGTGTACGAGCAATCTGTTCCTTCATGCTTTGGCCTGCCGGGTGGCAATTTCACTGAATTATCGTCGAAGTCGGTATCCAACAAGTTAGAGGGCAACTCTGTGTCATATTGCCAAGGCTGAATTGTTCGAGGGACGCCAACTTGAAATGAGATTAAAGTGTCGAGTTGAACGAGCAAGGCCCAGAGACGCCGGCGCATTTCCCCATCCAAGGGAGATAGCATTGGGTAATGACGCGGATCACGATGATAACCCATGCGCATAGTCAGGCGAATAGTCATCCCGAGCAAATAGGACATTCCAATCTGCGCATCCTGGGTCCGGTAGAACTCGGTGAGTGAGTAAAAGAATAGTGCTTCTCCTTTGTATCGCCCTGGAGTGATGTAGTTTGCTTGGATAAGACACTGCGAGGACCTTTTCCGGAATATGGCCCATGACCTGGTAGGGTCCGCCATGGTAGGAGGCAACGGCTCTGAGCCTCGATGATATAGAGAGACAGACAAAGCCATGATCGAGTATAAGAGCGAAATCCAAGTAAAAGATTTATCTGCTGGGCATAGCCAGAACTCCTCGTACTCTTTCTGGAACGTGGGAACATGGATTGACACTGCTGGATTATCAGTCCTCAGTGCGTACTGTTTTTCTTGAGAATACCATACCTCGTGCCGGTTCAGACGTCTTGAGGAATCGAGAGACCAGGCGATCGGTTATTGACCGCGGAGGGATGTCCATAAGCACCTCCTCTTTGCTCACCGGACGGCCATGACCAAGCAGCAGAACTGGTGACGAGTCATCGTACGGGTCAATCTTGACGCTTTCATCGTCGGAATTTTCTCCATCCTCATCTAGATATTCTTTCACGCCATTAATCTTCGGATTTGAGAACCCGTCAGCACAATGTTCTCAAAGCGCAGCAATGACCAAATCAGGACGGACCTCTTCCAGAATAGCGCGCCAATGTGCACTGTCAATATAACTAGTTCCCTCATTTTTGACGACCAGCGTGCCCGTGTCAACCGGAGTCAACACAGCGTCACGATCAGAACTGCCTTGTGAACGCGTCGCGCTAGCGTCTCGATTCTCTGATTGCACCGCATTGAAATCTATATCGGGATCAGACCTCTGCTTCTGTGCAAGAGACATCACCAGGTTTTCTAGATGGTGTAAGCGGTCTTGGACTAGAGTCGGGCTTGAGCGCCCATGTTGGGCTTTGCCTCGTGGCCCGCGCCCGACATAGGTGCATGATATGGCCTCTCCTCGCTTCTTGCAATTACCACAAGGGTGGTTGCGGCAGCATTTCAATCTATACGTAGTCGATCAGTAGCTGCAGATATGCTAGGTATGCACGTCATGCTTTGGCTTACTTTCGATACCTGCACGCCGTGCACGAAAATTGCACTCGTGTTCTCTTTTTGGGGGCGGATATCCCCGCCGCAGGGTCCAGAGGTTCGTCCATTACTATTTATGGATATTATGGTTATTGCGATCAACAAATGATGAGGATGATGCCCAGGAACTAAGAACATTCCATGTAGAAAAGGAAAAAGAAGTGGACTCCCAAGCCCGGGGGGGATCTACACGCCCCGCACCCGTAAACAGAGCTTTATGTACTTCGATTCTACTTCGATTCTATCAGTAATAACCTTGGAACCCTCACAGACTGCAGACTACAACCATCACAGTTTTATATTGGGTCTATTTGTGCAGTTTATATTCAGTGGATCTCAGCCTTCATGGCGACTACTCCTCCGGGTCCAATAATCTGCACCTTTGTTCCCTCGCCCTCCTCAAGCACAATCCGATACTCATCCCCGGCATATAATGGACTCGTTGCCCGGTAAGAGATTCGCTCAGGAACAACCGAGGTAGGATCCGTGACATTCTGGCGAGTGTCGCGCCAAAGATCCAGAATGGAGATCAAATTCAACGGACCATGTACTACAATATCCTTGTGTCCTTCTACATCCCGCGCCCAGGGCAGTGAGTAGTGGATCTTATGAGGGTTGAAAGTTAGGGCAGAGAAGCGGAAGAGTGTCACAGGTGTTTGCACCAGGGTTCGCGTATGGGTGTTGCCCTCGGTGGAGATGACGGACGAGGTAGGATTAGGGGTCGCAATATGGGACGTTGGAGACGAGGGAGGGGCGCTGGATGGTGTCGATGCAGACGGAACGGGTAAAGCTTTACGGAACACCCAATTACTATATGAATGTTGTTGTCAGTATTTTGGTCTGCGACATCTTTGAAAAGGGAAGCCGAACCGTCGGTCAATAATTGACACGCCGTGCTCATTGGCGAATTCTTTCTCGATTCCAACAACAATCATGTCCTCGCCGGTCTTTTTCACAACCTTGGACTCCGCACTGAGTACCCGCGTTGTCTCCTGCACCTGCTGTCCTACCCGTAACAGATTGGGTTTCCCATCAACACGGGGCCACAGCACCTCGCCGCCTGCCCACATGCGCCGTGTGAAGGGCACGTCAGGATTGTATGACGCGTCGGTTCCATCGGGCCCAAGTTCACTTTCCAAGAATGCGGGTGTGAAATATGCGAGGTGGTAGCCCGGCGGGACGGGTACTGTGGATTGCGGGGCGGAGGCGCCATTGGACAGGGAGGGCGCACCGGGGAAGAGAGTCGGGCGATTGAGTGTGAGGGTGAGAAGCTGGAGCTGGTTTGCATCTATGGTTTGCGTACGGGTTTGTGGCCCCAGGGATTGGAAGCGCGACAAGAAGGCCGAAGCTACCGAGGAAGCATCTGAGCGGAGACGCTGAGACATGGTGAAATTGCGAATTGCACCCGGTCGGGTTCGCGCCAGTACGCGCGGGCGAAGGTGTGTGAGTAATGATAAACTTGAAGACATGATGTGTTTGGGAGAATGGTAAAAACAAAAGCAGAAAAAGCAAAAGGTGAAAGGTGAAAATAGAAACGCAGCGGGGATCTCCAAATGCATGCGGGGAAGCCGATATACTCCCAAGTCGGCTTTATACTTGACCTTGCAGAATGGATGATATTGGATTAACTCGTTTACATACTATTTTCCTTTCTAATTTTGAGTAGATGACAGTCGTGATTTGATCTTGATTTGCTAAGTGACACAATTCCTTACCTTTTATAACAACTACAAGAGTGGTTGGCCGCGTATGCGGCCTCTGTCCTTAACGACGTAGGGCTTTAATAATCTAATTTATCTAGCTAAAGGGGATATTAGGGATCCGGCTATATGTGAGATAACACTCCGATTCTTTTTTTAGGTGTTTTTTAGGTGTTTTTTAGGTGTCTTTATCAGGAATAGCACTTGCCCCGAGTCTTTGCCGTTGTTGAATTTGATTATAGGACGGGTGTTTAATGTTGAGTTCTACCTTAGCTGTAATATACATCCAATCAAGAGACCTATTCCAAAGTAAATTAAGAGCTCGGAACTCCGAGTACATGGAAAGTGATGGATGTGGATCGCAGCGCTAAAGTGATGCCATGATTGATAATCCACTAGAGACACGGGTTGGCAGAAATGTAGATCCATTGACATGTACTTGTATGGATGACGCTTTTGATTATAAAATTTTTGATTATAAACCTCCCCAAGATAAAGGGCCTTGAAATGTAGAATATAAATACCCAACTGTCCTTGTTGTTTTCATTCATATTTCCCATCTCCTCATTTTTCATCTCCTCATTCTTCAACAACCATCTATCATGGCTAGCATCAAAATTATCTGGGGCGGAGGCTCAATCATGGACGAAGTCTCATACCCGACTCTCGAATCCATCAACGAGGTCCTTGACGTTCTGCAAGCCAAAGGCATCAAAACCATCGATACTGCCAAGCTCTACAATAATTCTGAGGAGCTATTGGGAAAACTTCATGCCGATTCCCGCTTTACCATTGATTCGAAATACCCCGGCGGGTTTGGACCTGAGCCTTCCACCCCAGAGTCTTTTGTTACAACCTTGAACGAGAGTTTGGCTCTTCTTCAAACCGATGAGGTGAGCTTCTCATAATCCGAGACAGTAAAGACACAATCCCTGATATCATTTCTAGCTCGATGTCTACTACATGCATGCCCCCGAACGCAGGAGCTCACTGGAAGACCTGCTGGCTGGCATCAACTCTGCATACCAGGCTGGAAAGTTCAAGCGTTTTGGGCTGTCCAACTATCTGGCCGAGGAGGTCGAAGAGGTGGTCCGCATCTGCCGCGAAAAGAACTATGTCGTGCCAAGTGTCTACCAGGGAAACTATTCAGCCGTTGCACGCCGAGGAGAAAAAGAGATCTTCCCCACGCTGCGGAAGCATAACATCTCCTTCTATGCTTATTCTCCCATCGCAGGAGGATTCCTGACCAAGGATGTCGCGACGTTGGTCGCCGGCGGCCAGGGTCGATGGGATCCAAACACGCAACTTGGTGGAATCTACAATGCACTTTTCAATAAGCCGAGCATGCTGAAGGGCTTGGAACAATGGGAGACGATCTCCAAGGAGTCTGGTATCTCCAAGGCTGAATTGGCATATCGGTGGGCGGCACATAATTCCGCTCTCAAAGAAGAATTCGGAGATGCTGTAATTGTTGGCTCGCGTAATGTTGAGCAGCTCAATCAGACGCTTGATGCGTTGAGCAAGGGTCCTCTCAGTGCGGAAATTGCAGCACAGATTGAGCAAGTGTGGAAGATTGTCGAGGCTGATTCGCCTTTGGACACCTTCAACAGTTTCCCCCAGAATGATAAGGTTGTCTGAAGTCTAGAGAGAGAGGAACGCCAAGAGAAGGAAATTGCAGACCAGGGCAGGTGAGAGAAAGCATTTGTAATGAACCTAGAAGGTATCTAGTTACTTTGAAAGAAAAATAAATCCACGACTTTTCATCAAAATACCAGAGCATGTCATAGAAATATTAAAAAGAAAAGCGCGAAGAAGCTTGAAAGAAGTTAAGTTGGGGGTGGGGCTATAGTGGGGCCATGGTGGGTCAAAGGTGTGAATAGCTTCACAGGATCCCGAATGAGGAAAAAAACCGTGGCCCCAATAGGTCCTTCACACAGCTGGTCTCTAGGGACAGTTTCCTCATTGTCTAGGACGCGCCTCGCTCAGTGTAACTCTGAGGCATCAGGGAGCCCCCTTTTCAAGGTGGGGTTGGTGTACTCCCTGTCGTCAGCCCGTAACTCAATTCAACCTGGCCCAGCTGTGATTCGAACTCGCAACCTAACATCGCCCTGCCCGGAGCGCTTCCCATCTGAGCTATGGGGGTTGGGGGTTGCTATGTCTGAACTGATTCTTCTATTTATGCTCACTTTTTTGTATCGTTCCTTCCCCAGGGAGAAACCCAGGGATGCTCTTGCCTTGCGACAGTTCCTTCCTCATTATTTAAGGTATTCCACCCTGACATACTATGTATATAATATTTCCTGGGCATTCACGTCATGGCATACTAAGCTTCTTGGGTGACATCGGGACCTCGGGAGACTACCTCGGGAGAAGAGAGTATCAGGAAATTACCTATACTCATTATTAAGGCCTCTATATAATTATCTATAGTATGTCCTACGTGTAAACTTTATTCCAGTGATATTAGGCCAACCCCAATGGGCGTATATAAATTGTTGAATTGAGGCTGTCGAGGGTATCTTAAGGCAAAGGAGGTAGGGATGAGGCCATAAGACCGAAAAAAGAGATAGAGATAGAATAGGGCGAGTCAAAGGAGACACACAAAACCGAGATGAGTCAAAGGAAAGCAGACGAATCAAAGTCGAACCTGACCACCAGTCAACCGTTCCCAGTCCCTCTGTCCAAAGGGGATATAGGTATTACCCTGAAGCCAGTACAGTCGGTCCTTCTTCGATACAAGAGCTGGATCGACGCCTTCAGTACGGAGAACATGCTTTTGTTGCTTGTTGTTACCGGTTGACTGCGTCACAGGCGTAATGCGCAAGAACAGTGGAGCCGCAAAACGGGGCAGATTCTTGAGAGTGTGTGCAGCCAAAGCATCAAGCACCTCGCGCGAGGGCTCCAGTGCGGAATCAGAGAGTTCACCGCCTGCTATCTGCTGGTTGAAGAGGATGGCTGCACATCCTGCACGGCCATCATGATTAGGAAGAGCCACGCCGTAAACATTGGCTTCGTGCACTTCAGAATGCGAGCCGAGAACCTCAGATACTTCGCTAGTCGATACATTCTCGCTCTTCCACCGGAAGGTATCACCCAGTCGATCCGAGAAGAACCAGCGGCCGTCTTTGTCCCATCGAATCATGTCACCGGTCCGGAAATAGGCATCGCCCTTCTTGAGTACATCGCGGATAATCTTGCCTTCTGTCGCCTTCTTGTTTCCGAAGTACCCCTGGAAATTGGCAGTGGGATCCGCTGCATCGATGGCGAACAGCAACTCACCGGGATCACCCCGAGGGACATTCTTGCAGAGACCAGTCTTGGGGTCACGCCACGGTTCCTGGGTCTCGTGATCAATGTCCACAATGGCAGAGCCACGACCAAGGATAATATTTCCCAAAGCACCGTTTCGGCCGATGGCACCCGCGGAGAAGTCGTTCGAAGAAATGTTCCATGAGCCCGCGGTACCTTCGGTAGCGGCGTAGAACTCGGCGATTGTGGGGATGTTAAAGCGCTCCTTGAAGCGGTTCCAGATGTCGGGACGCAGTCCATTTCCAAACGCCAGGCGGATATTGTGCTTCTTGTCGAGGTCCTCGCCGGTGACCGGGTCAATTTCAGGTGCTACGCCCAATAGATAACGTAGCGTCTCGCCCACATATTGGATAATTGTCGCGTCGTTCTCGCGAGCCTCCTTGATGAAGTTGCGCGCAGAGAACCGGCGGCCAATGATCAGGGTGGCTCCACCCATCAAGCAAGTTATAAACCCAAGCACCGAAGCAGAACTATGATAAAGAGGCATGCACTAGTCAAGAGGTTAGCTTGAACAGTAACATTTGTAAATTTGGTAGACCTTACCGTGAAGAATCTGTCAGAGGAAGTAATGTTCAGCCAATCTTTGACGAACAAACTACCAGACCAGCACTTCTTCCAACTGATAATAGCGGGTTTGGGAAGCCCGGTGGTGCCACTTGTGTAAATCAAAATGGCCATATCGCGAGGGATCAAGCCACTGCGGGCCTTGTCATCCTCTCGCGTAGGCTCCATCCCCAAAATCTGGGCTTCCACCTCCTGGGTATGGAACACGATCTCAACCGGTCCCTTGCCATCACGGAAGGTCGGGGATGTCAAAATATTCTCCTGCTCCGCCGGGAAGCAGTGACGAACTTCTTCGTCAACGATCAAAAGTCTCGCGGTGGACGTTCGAATAGAGTGAGTGAGCGGCTTGCCAGACAAGTTGTAGTTGATAAATGCAGGGACTGCTCCAATACTCCAAAGTCCCAGCATCATGAAGATAAAGGTGGAAGAGTTCATGAAGTCGATCGCGACAATCTCCTTGCGCTTGATGCCGTGGACGTTCTTGAACCACGCTCCGTAGCGAAGAACCGTGAGGTATGCTTCGTGGAATGTCGTTGTTCGTCCATTATACACAATAAAATCGTTGTCGGCAGTTTTTGGATCGAGTGCATAGGCTTCAAGTGTGTAGAAGAGGTTCAAGCGGTCGCCACGCTCGGCGATGCGGGACTTCGCGGACATCTTCAACATTCCCTTGATGAGTTTCAAATCGTAGGAGAGCGACCATCTTGCATTGAGATATGCAAGTGTGGTTGCCGCGGCAGGGAGTGCAAGACTCAAGGGAATATCTGCGCAAAGGTACCGCTTGTTAGCCTTTCATCCAGTCCAACCGTGGGTCATAACCTACCGGGCAAAGATGGCAGCGGCATTATGACCAAGAAGATTCAAGGATCAAGCCCAAGTGAGTATGGTCAAAGAGTATGATATTTGGGTAGAGGATGAGATCGCCTCTTGTATCACAGCTTTGTATGTAGCTCTGAGAGAAAGAACAAAGAGCGTGTTATAGGAGCTCCTTGACACCTCGGCTTTTCTGCCTTTTATTAGCGAATGACTGATCAAAACCTCGGAAGAACCTGGGCAATATTGGTTGGCTTTATCCGATGTATCCGTGAGATTGAAATAGGAAGAGGTCGAAACATGCCTCGGCACGGGTGGGGTGTGCCGATCCCCTGACGACAGGCAACATTGTGCAACGCGTACTCGCCACGCAACCTTGGAATTTAGCGTTATACTACAGTTGTCTCTTTCCCATAATGATTTGATACTTCGTCTTATAGCATTCAGGTGCTAATTCTAACAATTTTCTGGTTCTTCTGTAGACACATGGGCTCGGCTTATTTAGACCGATCGCCACCCCGCACTTTTTACTCGGAGAGTAAGGCTGTACTATATGTATATGTACTAGTTTGCATGTCACGTTGAGACCCTTGTCGACTGTTTTGACAGCCAAGTTCCATAGGGTAGCATATCACTTTTGCAAGGACTTCTTCACTGGGACATCCTCATACTCATCTTCCATGAACTTACCCAATGCATCCAAGCCCCGCTCCAGGACCTCGGTTTCATTGACATACCCAATGCGAACATAACCGTTGAAGTCTTCTCCTACTCCGAAGCAAAGGCTTCCCGGGACAAGCATCACACCGGTCCGTTCCTGAAGCATCTCGCAGAAAGCGACATCGTCTACGGGTTTTCCCATCTTGTTGAAGCGCACAAATGCAGTGGTACCGGCTTGCGGCTTAACCCACTCACACGCCCAGCGATGAGCATCGATGAACTTCTCTAGAATAGAGAGATTAGTCCGGGCCAGATCGATATTTCGCTTCAGAAGATTGTGGATACAATCCGGTGCTAACGCAAAACTGGCAATTGCTTCGTCAATTTGCCCGACCGAGATAGTTGTATAATCGCGCGCATTAGCAAGAGATTCGATGATAGAACTATCCCGCGACGCAACCCAGCCGACCCGCAAACCCGCCAAGCTATAGGCTTTGGAAACAGATCCTGTCACCACGGTGCGTTCGTATCCCATGGAAAGAAGTGTAGGTGGGAATCGCGGGTCTGCGGGACTGATGTTGTGGAAAAGCGGGCGATAGACCTCATCGGAGTGGATGATGATGGATTTCTCGCGGGCAATATCGACCAATTGCTCGAGAGTCTGGCGCGGGATGATGGCTCCAGTTGGGTTTTGCGGGTTACTATGACGAGCATGATAGTCAGGAAAAAAAAAGCACGCCGTATATGAATGTGACAAGAGTCAGACATACTTTATGATGATCAACTTCGTGTTGGGCCGGATAAGACCTTTCAGCTCTTCAATGTCCAGCTCCCATCCATCAGCCTCTTTAGACTTCCATAGGCTGACTTCGGCCCCCACTGATGCAGGGACAGAGAACAGTTGCTGATATGTTGGATAATGGCAGATGACATGGTCTCCCGGACCAACCAACGTATATAGCAGCAAGAAGTTCGCTTGAATTGCGCCAGCGGTGATCAATATATTATCCTTCGGCAACTGCGTTGGTGCCCTCGCCGAGTACAGATTCGATAATGTATTTCGTAGCTTATCGGAGCCACGGATCGCCCCATACGTAAGTTTGGTGGATTGAAGCTCGGCTAAAGGGTTGGAATCCTTGTCATCGGAGAGCGCGCGGAGATCGTCGACGGAGATGGATGCGCAGCAGGTCTCGGCAGTATTATATTTGGCGGTGGTCTCATACTTGTCCATCCACTGCAGGCTGGTTAGCAATGGATATTTATAACGACACAAGGAACAGACAAATACCACC